GGGGGGGGGGGGGGGGGGGGGGGGGGGGGGGGGGGGGGGGGGGGGAGTTGACATTTAAGGGGACCATAAATCACTGCCATAATATAAAAACTGCCTGATGAGAAGATGACAAATTGTTTTAAAAAATGTTACAGTAAGATGCTAACAAGTTTCTGAGGGTTGAGCAAAAAACTGTGACCTGCTTGACAAACTAATCAAGCGAAGACCATTTAATCAACGAAACACACCAGGAGGAGAAACCTTAACGTCTTATAACTGTTCATGATACTGGATTGGATGGATGGATGGATGGATGGATGGATGGATGGATGGATGGATGGATGGATGGATGGAGGTGACAAGTTGAAGCAGTTAAGTTGGCATGTTTTTAGGTTAGTGTTAGAGAAGAAGCTTCCGTTCCCCGTATAAAGACTAATTTTACGGTTTTAAAGTTCCAACCATGCATCACAACTAAAACAACTGGGAAGTGGATTACATCCTTCTTAAATTTGGGGCTCACCGGGCTTTATGCCTCTTGTCTTATGTTTATAATGACCTGCTGCTTCTTTGCTGGATTCTTTCACGTGTGGACCTCTTTTGGGGTTTGTGGCCTTTCATTTTTTCCTGTTCTATGTTATTGTTTGTTCTTTGATTCTTTGTCTCATGTCGGCCCTGTCATTTGGGGTCCCTCGGCTTTCTTTTTCATTCCCACTCCTCCTTTGTTAGCTGTTGCTCCAGTTTTAATTTGCTGCTTTGTTGCCTGGTTCATTGTGTGCATTTCCTCCGTGTGTGGGTTAACCTGTGTTCACTCGCTTTGGTCATGTCCTTGTTCTCATTCTGATACATATTTCTGATTCTGAGAAAGTGGATTTTCTGTCTTTGTTTTCACCTCCTGAGCCCTTCTGTCCTGCATTTAGGTCTGATGGACTCCTGGTTCGGCTTGATTTTCCCAGTTTGCGCAGCCTCTTTTGAGTTCAGTGAAGTCTTTTAAGTCTATATTCATCATCTTTGTGTGATCTTGTCTGTATTTCTAAAGGGTGTTTTCTAAAGCTGGACACGCGCACAGCATAGTGCCTGACACAGACATTAACTAGCTGTATTCACAGGAACAGAAATGTCCAGCTTTGTCCAGCCTGTGTGTTAAAGAGAAAACATCTTATTGCCTTCGTGTGTTGTTGTGCGACCATCATCTGTGTTGTATTTTAATACAAGTGGTCCCTCTCATGTGTCTTCTGTTGTGTGTATTATGGTGAAACACGGAGGTGTTTGCGTTTAAATAAGTATTCTGTGTGAGTTTCACTCATCATAGAGACGCTTTAGGAGGAAAACAAACATCCCTCTGTTGTGGATGAGTGGGAGTAAGATTTAAGGTGAATCCTCTGTAAAGACCCAGGGGCTTCTACTACTCACAAAGCAATGTGACAAGCTACATATACCCCGGAGGCTCTGCTGCTACCTGTTTGTCAACAAAGCATTTTCTGCCCCAAATGCGTGGTGAGGCTTTTTGTCAAAGTCCCCCTATGTGTGCTTCCTCTGTCTGCTTTGCATATTTGTGCTTGAACTTCAGAGGATTTGCGGCTTGTGCAGAGAGAAAGAGTCTGCAGATTTTTTAAAACAAAGATGGCGGAAAGCCAACAGTGGGTGATGATGATGATGATGTTTTTATTGCCTTCATAGGTGTATTTCACAGCTTTGTGTTTTTTTTTTTTCTTTCTCTGCTTAGCCTCTAAGGATGCACTGCCACACCTGTGCCCTGGTGACCAGCTCCGGTCACCTGATCGGAGGCGGTCGGGGGAAGGAGATCGACCGGGCCGAGTGCGTGATCCGGATGAACGACGCCCCCACCGCCCGGGGCTACGGCCAGGACGTGGGCCGCCGCACCTCCCTGCGGGTCATCGCCCACTCCAGCATGCAGCGGGTGCTGCGCAGCCGCCACGAGCTGCTCAACGCCAGCCAGGACGCCGTCTTCATCTTCTGGGGCCCCAGCAGCTACATGCGGCGCGACGGGAAGGGGCTGGTCTACAACAACCTGAGGCTGATGAACCAGGTGCTGCCCGCCCTCAGAGTCTACATCATCTCCTGGCAGAAGATGCAGCAGTTCGACGACCTCTTCAAGAAGGAGACCGGCAAAGACAGGTGAGGGCACGCAAAAAAAATAATCATTTCTAATTAATTAAAACACATATAGGAATGCCACGTTCTCAGATCACCACAATCCACTTTAAAACATAAAGTTGTATGGTTGCCATTGACTGGTTGCTTTTGGGTTTGTGATGTTTTCTTTTTATGATTCAGTCTCTCTTTACCCACTGAAACCAAACTAACATAAATCCTTAAATCCTCTGTGTTTTCTCCACACACACTAAGCTGGAAAAGTGTGGGCAGAAAATCTCGATCTTAGGTTCCTGCTGCTATGAGAAGGGTGGTGAGAAAGTAAGACGAGCCACAGCCACAAAAGTCGTCCCTTTTTCCCGTGTGCGGTGCTCTGGGTCACACTTTGTTACAGGCTGAAAAGCTCTAAAGGGCCCTTTTTCGGGCCAAGCCGCGTCCCTCAGTCCGGCGGCCATCAGCACCTGATGAAAAGCCAGCCGCACACACACACACACACACACACACACACACACACACACACATACTCACACACGCCGTATATGTGTATCCTTCTCTTTATCTGGGGTGTCGGTGAAGACTGAATCTGACTTCAGCTTTAGACAGACGCCAGGGAAAGAAAAAATGCCAAGCAGGGGATTTGCTTAGAGGCTCAGATGTCCATCCTTCAGATTCTGTGCCTGCAATTCTTGGAAATGTTTGCGACGAACAGGCGAATCTGGAGTTGTTGTTTTTCTCTTCCCTTTTGCCATTTTGTGTTTTTGTTTTTAACTTTTCTAAGCTTTTTCGGGTCAGTCCTGCTCTGTGTGGCAATAAACTGGACAGGAAAAAAACTTGGATTATTCATGTAAACCCTTCTAATATGTGAAACCATTCAAAGGAGTCTATTTGCATGTGCAACGCGATGTTCCTCTATAAACCAGCAATATTTTAACTCGTTTCCTCTGTGAAAGCAGCACTAATAGCAGACTTTCTGGGTAATAAACTGTGCCACTGGCACCCCTGGAAGCTTGTAATTGTAATTATAGGATATGCAATTTCAGTAAAGGTAATTAGGATGGTGTGGGATGAGGCCACAATCCCTCATTTTAATAATACCGACACAGCAGCTCAGGGAAACAGGTGTCCCTCTGCAGCCTTTGCGCCTCAACTGGTGATTAAAGGCAAATTAGCTTTTGAAATATATCTATTTTGCTGCTCGTGTTTTATGTTCCTGTTAAGCTTTATTGTGATCACTTACAGTTGGATTGTTGTTTCTGCTGGGCTCATCCAGAGGCAGCTGTGGGGTAGAATTCAGGGACAAAATCTACTTTTGCTCACTTACCGAAAGAGAAAAGCCTAAAAAAGCCTAAATCAGTCGACCATAGTGACTCATTAGAAAAGGTAAAAATGAAAGAAAACAGGAGACTTATAGACAGAAATGCCAGAGCTCCACTTCGAAATACGTCTCTCCTATATCAAGGCCAGTAGTTCTAAGACATACATGCAACAAAACCTGGAAGGCTAAGTAGGGTTAGATCTACTGGTGAAACACATATTTTTACAATGTTTTTTTTTACATTGTTGTTATTTTTAGGCCTGCGTGAAGTGGAATTGATTTTTGGTAAAGTGCATTATTTTGTGGGGGGCTAGAGTGACACAGACGACATGCAGAGGCCATGCATACAGGACTCCAAATAAAGAAATGGCTGTAGCAATGCTGCTGTTTTTCCCTCTGAGGAAACGCTGATCAGCGCCCTGACGCTCACGTGCAAACCCAGCAGGGGAAAAAAATAGAAGGACGGAGCTCAAATTAGAAATCAGCCCAGAAACAACTTTAATCACTTCAGCTGTACATGTCGCGCATTAACCTTTAAAACAAAAGAAAGCGATATTAAAAAGGGGTTTGATGTTATGCTAATTAGAATGTACCGTACTTTCCTGTAACCATCGCTTACATTACTTACAAATTATCTCTTTATAAAAAGGCAAAAGGCTAAACACAGACTCATTAGAAGAATTATATGAAAGATTTCTCTGTTTCTCGTTACTATCTGCTAAAGCCGTGCTGTGAACAAAACAGCTTTCATATCCTCTAATGAATATATTCTACTGAATATTAGCTATGTGACAATTCGAAATAATGAATAATGTCAAATTGTTCTCATGTTAATAGGAATACAAAAATCTACCGTGAACAGGATACAAAAAGAAGGATGAAACCCTTCAGACTGTGCAGACCTGAGGAGCTGCAGGGAGAAATCTGACATCCCACTCACTGCTTGCTTCTAGTTTTTTTTTTTAAAGACAGTCGTTTAAGCTAAGAGCTTGACATTTCACACCCATTATTCATCAGCATGTTCATAAACAAGGAAATGAGGAAGACTTCCACTGTGAGCTTATACGCATGTCTCCTGACTAAGACACCCCCCCACCCCCCCCACCCCACCCCCTGACTCCACCTCCACTTCAGATTGCTTTATGACAAAATACCAAGCTTTGAAGCTCCTAATTTACAGAAGAAGAGGGTGCATGTGTGCGCGTGAGGGGGCTGTGCTGTTGTAATATTAACACCCAGAGGCTGTGTTTACCTATCACAACAAATCAACGCGTTCCAGTTTCCAGACAACCTGGCTCCCGTCATAATTAAATGAAAATGAGAGGTGTGTGTTGTGGCGGCGATAGCGTGGATTTGAGCCGGTAGAGCTGCGTGCTGCGTGGACATACACAAATATACACCAAAGCTGGACAAAAGTGCATAACGGTGTCGTTACACCGGCTCTCAGACAGCACAGTTTGGCTGATTCGGGCCAGCCGAACTGCTTGTTGTGCACGCCGCCGCGCGGCAATCACAGACTGTGACGGCTCCAAGTGGACACGATTGAATCTTTTCTATTGACTCTGATTATCCTTATCGTCCAGAATACTAATTTTCAGGGCGGCCTTAGTGTGTCCGTTCCATGTCGACATTTTACCTGCGGCAAAATATGTTTTTATAAGATATTCTATGTATTTAAGAGCATTACTCTCATGCATTTCTATTTTCCTGTATGCAAACGCGGATGTTGAGTCTGATTCCTACACACACCTTCACAGAAACAAAGAAAATGAAGCCAGTCTTTGATGGTGTAACCAGCAAGACTCCCCGATTTCCAGGAAATGTTTGCATTATTGATCCTATTTCATTAACCTAATATTATTACTTTCTTATTTCAAAGCTAGAAGGCTTATTTAATCATAATCATCATATCTCAAACTTTTATATGATTATATAGAATTCACTACATATGTCTTTATATCTGCACACATATTTCAATTTCTAATTAAATTTATTTTGATCAGGACTAATTAACATCTTCATCATTTAAATACCACGCGCTCTTCACGAGTCGACGTGTTATGTATGCATAGTTACAGCCACCACTATTTAGCATATGCATAAATACCACTGAATGAGTCTGCTCATATCTGAGGTGTTTATAATTCGCACCATTCACATCTGAGGATAAAAACATAAGGAGATGAACTGGGCTTTAGGTGGTTTGCCGTGTTCCTGACAATGGCTCAGCTTTATTTCACCACTTGCATCCAGGATTTTGTACGTGTGGACGACTCCTCAGCCAGAAGCCTTTAACGACTCTTTAAAGTCTCGTCGGCTCCTTTAAAGAGGCTGGAAATATTTCATTGCTCTCTAACGGCTTCCCAGAAATGCCTTCTTCCACTCCGCTGTCCCTTAACTGGAGAAATCCTATAAATGAAAGATCTGAGCAGGCCTTTCATTTCTGGATTTTTGCCCGGCATCCCCTTACGCTGCACTCTCTCTTTAAGAGATTGAACACCCTTTTCAAACCTCCAGGTAAAGCTCCCCGTTTCAAAAGCGCCGTCCTCCCCACCAGCAGGCGGGCGGTGTGGAGATGCATGCCTGCTTTTTTTATTGTCAACGCTTTTTCCTATCAGGGACCCATACTTGGTTTGTTGTTCATTACGATTACACTTGGTTGCCAGGGGATGAAATCTACTCCTTTCAAAATGAAACATTTCACCAATCGACTGACATTTGCTGCCTTGACTTGTTTGTGGGGTTGAAAAAAAAAGTTTGGGTTGGTCCGGCACGGCTCAATGAGGATTATGAAACAACTGGCCCCCACACAGTCAGCCAAGACTTGTAAAAATCACCCCTCAGGCTTTGGGAGCAAACCAAGGCACCCACGCCGACAAAGATCAAACCCGACCCACTCCCCAACAGGCCTCTCCATAGTCGTTGTTTGCATCTCTGTCTTTTGCAGTTGTCACTCTGGATGTTGCAGATGTTTGCATCACTCTCCATCACTCCGGTTTTCGTGTCTCCTCCGGACATTACTGTCTGTTTCCAGCAGATTTGTTTACATCACTTGACGTGGCTCTGCGTCCTCAAGCTGACAGTTTTTTTTTGTCTCTGAGCTTTATCTCGTTCGCGTCGCGATGGTGCTTAACGGTCATTTGGTGTCTTTTTTTGTTCGATGCCATGTTGGTGAAGGATGGTGTCACACATTACGCCTCGTTTTGAAGGAGCTTCATATTTCTGTGCGGTTGTCTGTTCATGTGTCTTTGTTCATTAAATCCTATCTTGTAGTTGTTTCACATGTATTTCTGATCATGTTTTATTTAATTTTATGGTCTAGTTGATCTCTGTGGTTAATTTATGTTCATTTTGTTGTCATTTTCCTTGATTTTTTTCTTATTTGGCTCCTAATCTTGGTTAAAGGGTTAAGCAGAAACTTTCTTGTATTCTTTTCCTGGAATCCACTATTTCTCCCCTCTAACAAAGTGACATGCTTAATGTTAGAGGATAAAAAACTGAATATCTATCTACAGTGACTAAAGTTGGCAGGGTTTGGTCTGTTGGTTATGCTTTCCGCATGAATATTAAGAAGGCTACTATTGAGGTGCATCATTGACCGATGATGCATAAATAATGGCGACTTGTTCCGCTTACTGTCAGGATAAGGATCAGCCCTTCAGCCGGAGGCACAACAGAACCCACAGCTGTGTCGGACGCAGCTGAAGGATCACAACATCAGTTTGTGTCTGCGCTCTAACAATGTGGGAACGAGAACGGTTTCATTCAGCTGTTCGTAGGCCGGTTTGTTCCAGAAGGGTTGTGGATGGTAGCTCCAAAACGCCAGAGGTTCCAGCTTTCCAACTGGAAAACTTGGGGTGACTGTTTTTTTGTCTTTGTTTTTTTGTTTTTTTGAGAATGTAAAACCGATTCCACGCGGCTCCCCTTTTTGTTTACGCATTAAAATGACAAAATCTTATTATTCCCTCAGCTCCGGATAAAGGTGTCTATTGTTTTGGAAAGAGAAAACACAGTGAAATATGCAGAGTCTGTACTCTGTGAAATGCCTATTAAGGCCAAAAATATATCCAGTAATACAACAGCAGATATATTCTCCAACTGTTCCCATTAAAGTGTCCCTTGACGAGGCCAAATGGCTTTTGCTGGCCCCCTTTTGACAAATACACCATTTTTTCTACCAATAATCGACCACATTGATGTAGTAAGTAGCAGTAGGAGGCAATCTGAAGTTTGGTAAATTGAGGTTAATAATTCAGATCAATAAGAAGGAAACACTGAGGATGTTTAATAATCTCTGATGTTTGCAAAAAGCCTTAAATCAACATTCCATTGAGTTTCCAGGACTTGTATTCTTGGAGTCGTGCTTGGCTTCCTTGAGGAATTATTTAATTATTTTTGTCTTTGTTCTTGTTTCCTGGTTGAGTTTTGCATTTTCTTGCCGTCTCTCACTCAGTTTTCTGTTTTGAGTTTCAGTGTGATTTTGGCTGTTTCATATCCAGTTCCGTTTCTTTCTTGAGTTTCTCGTCCCTGTCTCTGGGCTTCTTTACAGTTTCCCTGTTTTATTGTGGTTGCTCTCTGCATTTCCCGTGCTTCCACAGGCAGAGTCTCCTCTGGTTTTCCTCATCAGTTCCACTCCCCCCACCTGCCTCACCCGATCCCTCTCCCCCTCCGTATAAACTCTGGGCTTCATTCATTCCTGCTCAGATCCTCATCCATCACATTAAGATTGTTTCATGCCTTGTTTTGCCGTCCTCTTCCTCATGGAGTCTCTCCGTCTATCCCTTATCCCGTCTTTTCCAACAGCCGTCCAGCCGGAGAGCTCACACTGATGGACGTTTGGATGTAAAGAGTCTTCCTAATGCAATGAAAATAGCATTTCATAATTCTTTCATTGTATCATCACATCTCTGAAAGTATGACTAATGCTAATTTTTCATTTTCTAAAGCTCTCAACCCCCCCCCCTGCAGCTGACGCGGCGTCTTTTCAGCTCTCAGCAGCTCGAGCGGGCCAAGGCTACTCTCTGATTAAGACTTTGATTATTTGACAGGGTTCATTTGTGTCAGTCGATATGTGGATGAATCTCTGATTTAATGAAGCTGTGAGGAGATCTTGCGGTCAGCAATAAAAAACCAACAACCTGTGGATTAAGATGAATCTAGATCCCTTTGTGATACGTCGATGGGAGATTTTTCTTAATATCTCTTCCCGTTAATCAGAGAAGGCGCCATTTTTAAAAATCCTCATTGTCTTTCGTGTTCTGAGCCCGTCTGAGTGCCGTCTGTCTCCCTCCTCTGCAGGAGGATATCCAACTCCTGGCTGAGCACCGGCTGGTTCACCATGACCATCGCCCTGGAGCTCTGCGACAGGATCAACGTGTACGGCATGGTGGCCCCCGACTTCTGCAGGTGAGCGCGGGGACCTGAATGCCAATGCCCCACCTCTAAGAGCTTTTTTTTTTTAAGGCCCGAGCTGTATGTGGGATCAATTAAAAATTCACAGCAGCACTCGTCTCCTGATGAGAGAGATTAAAACTAAATATATACAGGCAGCCCCATGGTACGATTTCCACGTACCGGGAGATGTTTGTGGAATGCTTCATGAGTTAAATTCATTCATGTTATTCAAAAAAAGGATTCGGGATTTTTTAAAAGAAAAGACACAGCTGTATCTCTCCTTCACCTCCTTCCAAACTCAAAATGTGCGCAGCAGGATTAAGGCGAGGATTTCGACATGTTCATGTGTCGGGGAGGTTCTGCTCATCGGGGTTAAAGCTTCACGGCTGAGCTTCCTTTTGTCTGCCCCGGCCCTGCCAAACCATGTGTCGTGTAATATTTCATTTGCTTTCTGCCCCGTTCAGCATTGCCACTACCAGCTTTTCAATATTTCAGCCAGCGTCTGCCATCGATACCGCTGACCACCCACTGACCGGCGCGCATTAGATTGCTAGCGGGTGTTCTCACACCCTGAATTAACGCAGTGGAAAGCTGCATTTTTGCGCGGAGTCTGGATTCCAACTTTTTCTTTTTCTGTTTTTATCCGGAAATGCAGATTTGTGAGCATCCGTCCATAAACTGGACCACAGATGGGCTTTGGATTATGCCACATGTGCAGCCAAAGGCAGGACATGTTTTACTTATGGGATTCCTTTTTTAAAATCATTTTAAGATTTGCTGGAAGGATGAGGTGGTGAGAGGTCACTGTTGTCCTGCTCGACTGTCTGAGCTCATCCCCTCAGAGCACCGGGCTCTAATACATAAAATATTTTTTTTTCGTTTGCGGCTATCAGGTGACAACAGCAATGGGGATTTCAAAGTAGCCTCAAAGAAAATTCCGTCCTTGGAAGTAATTGGCACCCCTAAATTTTCATAAATCTTCATACATTAAAGCATTTGAATGAATTTTCTAATTGTCCTGATATTAATCAGCGGCCAAAAGCTTTCAGTCGTACCATATTTGCTTAATTCCCAGTGTTGATTTGAACTTAACTAATGAATCATGGCTTAGCTGAATAAAAAGGGTTGACTGTTTCCATTTTACACAAAATATGCACCGATATTATAAGGATAATGTCAATTTAAACCGGTCAGTACAGGCCAATCTGCATGCTTACAGATTACAAAGTATGGAATGTCCAAAAAAGGTAGTTACTGTTCTTAAATCAATCTACATGTTTTCAATGGTCCCTCTGCATCTTTCTTTTTTAAGGCTTTCACTTTCAGGTTTTGTTCACCTGCTGTAGGTATTTTTTAAGGTTGCCCATGTCCTCTTTTGTCCTTTGGCTTCCAGCACACTGCACACCAAGCTAGTGTGGCCACATGGGTGTAGACAAGATGTTGTCATCATAACATTACAACATATTATCTAAACCTCTGTTGGCTATTTTCTAGGAAAATGATAGCTACTGATAATGATAGCTAATCATACACAAAACACAGCGTTTTGGGCAATCTACATACATGAATGATTCATACGACAATATCAAGAAATGTGCCCGCTTATCAAACAGATGAGCAGGCAAAGAACATCGCATTCCTCGGAAAATTACACAGATTGAAAAGCAGCAAAAATACAAACTGTAAACCGAAAAACTTTATTTTTTTACAGAACGCTGAGCTCGACTAAAGCAAAAACATAGAGGTCAGAGGTGGCTCAAAACTTAATGGTGAACATGTGCATTTGCATGTTCTCTTACTGATTAAGACTCAATACAGTTGCAAATGGCAACAACAAACTCAGTGCTCATTGCAAACCGTAGCAGCTCCTGTATACTGGATGAAAAAATGAGAGGTTTAGAAAAGGTGTAGAGGTGTAAAGGTGAGATATGTAGAAAAAATCATTTCCACGCATGTCTAGATTTGACATTTTTGCTGTCGGGGACACAGATGAGAAAATTGTGTGCGTAACCCAGAGACTCCATGAGCAGTACGGTGGTCCCATGTGGGAGAAAGTATGGAATACCGAGTGATTTCTGACTCTGCCGTGCTCCCGGCAACAGCCCTCGTTAGCAGAGTTTAATGGTTTGATTTACACCTCACGTCTCATTCGTCTCAGCTAGCACTTTAATTGGGGGATTTTATTGAACAAGGAGCAAATCTTCTTAGATTTCACAATAAAAAATAAAAAAAAAGAACAAACAGTGTAATGTGCTGTATATCCTTGACCCCGTCTCTTATTGATTTGATTTCAAAACTCTATTATTTGAGTCTAAAGGCAAATCCAGTCTGGACAGTGATAAAGACCAAATGTTGGCTCATTTCTTAAACACGGACCAATCCCTTTAGCTAGCATGACAACTGAGGTCTTTAGATTTGATTGGAAGATCTGAGGATTTAAAGTCCGTACTTTTCAAATGTCATGTCGGATATGCTTTGCAGACATGAATCATACATATTTTTCAAGCTAGAGAATTAATAAATAACTAATAAACATAAATGATTTATCACATGCAATATTAGAGACATGCTTGCATGATTTGAGGGATCTGGGAATTCTGCTTTGATGTTCCATCGCTACTCTACGCTAACAGGGACCTTCCTTTCCCCTTTTTGAGGGAAAAACTGTGTGATTTAATTTCACATTAGCGGCCACAAATAAAAAAAAAAAAACCTTTTTACGTCCGTATATATTTCTAATAATGAGGTTTGTTTTCTTTCTGTTCCGTGTGCACCGAGGCCGGGGAGGGACATGAGATCTGTTCCCATAAGACACCGGTTCTGAGCAATTACAGCGACAGCGCCTGTTGCCAAAAGTTACAAACCGACTCGGGGCTGATTTACAAGACACATGCACAAAAACAAAGGAACAATAGGCCCAATCAGTCACGCCTTCTGAACACGCAGAAGAAAGCGGCGCAGGAAAGCTGTCTCTGGGATCTTTTTTGAGAATGTCTCGAAGGATGCACTTAAATTTACAGTTTGAACGGAAGAGCCCGGACAGAGCGAGCATTTCTTCTGATAAAAAAATGAGAAATGCGAGACCAAGCGTGTGACACACACACACAAACTTATTTTACTTACTGTGTGATGATTCACCATTGAGAATATTCATCCCATAGCATCTTTTCTGACAGTAAACCTGACAAAAAAAACTGTTTTCTAAGCATAAAAGCACGTTTTGACCATCAGAAATTGCTTTAAATAGGTGTGGTGTAGGTCATCACATATATGATGATCATCACATAAATGATGATCCAGATCATATTTAAGACACATTTAAGACACATTTGAGAAAATAAACAAGATGTTGGTAAATGACTCCATGATGGATGCTGCTAAAAAATGCTACTGTCTGAAAATGATTTGAAATAAACTCATAAATATTTAACAAAGAAGTGACAAGTTATGAAGTTGACTCGTTAAGACCGATTTTGAAACGTGAAATACACAAATATGTGGCCTAAATTTCATTCCAATAAAAAAGGAAGGAATATTTAAAGAGTGTGAACCATGAACTTTATCAAGAACAACTTTTAACAATTAAAGAAACCAAATGCTGACTCCAGGGATGTTTAACACTTAATGGGTCTTTAAAAAAATGGTCTTTTTTTTGCAAACTGAAACTTTACGTGTGCTTAAACCCTTTCCCTGCTTGGTGTGAGAGAACCTATGCAGACTTCCTCAGCCTCCAGCACTGCTGAGCATTCAGAGTCTCTGTATTTCTGAAATCAGCGTGAGTGGAAGATGTAATGTTTTCCCTGATCAGCATCGCATCAAGGAGTTTGCCTATTTTGGCTTCTTGATGTTTGGGGTGCTCCTTTGTGTTAATTTTTCGTGCCGCGTCTTTCTTTTAACCTTGTAAGAGTCTTGAATTATTTTGTCTGAGAGGAAGCTACAGAAACTGCACTTAATTTAAAAGATGCCTCGCTGCAACTTATTGTACTTCTCAGCCAAGATGTAGGTGCCACTTGAAGATATTAAAGTTTGTAGTAGTAGTTATGTAGATCTATATATGTACTATGTATTTGAATCTGAATTTGAAGAAATCCTGGTAGGTTGTAAGGTAAAAAAAATAGGGTAGGCAAGAATAAGCTTTGCTTCGGCCCATTCCTTTTTTGGTAAATTGTGAGTTTGTCTATTGTTTTTTTTTCTTTTTTTCCTTTTGTTGTTTCTTGTGTTTAACGTGGACAATTTACCAAAATAAAGTGATTGATTGATTGATAGTTTCATTTATGTGCGCGGGGCATGGCAGATGACAGATAAGTGAATGCGGATCAACGGAAAAACACTTGATGGTGTCACGCTTTTCAAAATGCTTTTGAATGTCAACTGTCGTCTAACGTGAACTGTCCGTCTCCTGCAGGGGCCCCCAGCACCAGTCGGTGCCCTACCACTACTACGAGCCGCGGGGCCCGGACGAGTGCGCCATGTACATCTCTCACGAGCGCGGCCGGCGCGGCAGCCACCACCGCTTCATCACCGAGAAGCGGGTGTTCGCCAGCTGGGCGCGGACGTTTGACATCCACTTCTACCAGCCCGACTGGAGCCCGCCGCCGCTGCCCGCCAACCGCTCGCTGGAGGCCTCGCCACCCCCCCCGCCGCCGCCGACCCTGAACACGTGACTCCCGGGGCCGGACCAGGGAGGCCGAGGATGGAAAAAACCACCTGTTGATAGCTGACAAAGGGGGGGGAAAAAACACCTCAGATGAACACTGATCCTTACTGAGTAATATTTTTCTTAAACGAGGTGACCCAGTTTAAAAATGAGGCTTTGACAAACTGACTGAACTCACTTGTTAAGGCTGGTACAGTGATACGAGGAGACGAGATCTGGTCCCAGTAAACAGCATGCATGCCGTGTTTCAGCGTGGGACCCTGCTGCTCTTTGAATGTGTGTGAAGAGATGATGCATTTATTTATTAGGAGGAATCCCCGGAGGATGCCGCTTGAGTTTCACCTCTCCGTTGAGGACCTCCGCGGGATTTCTAGAGGAAAAACACCGTTAACTGCCCGGGATCTGAGCTGTAGCCGTGGAGACGGTGCGGGCTGAACGAGAATAACGATGCACCGCCAGTTCAAATTGGCCGTTTTAAAAGATGAGTTTAAAAATCATCACTTCCGACACTGAAATTTCTCAACAGTTTTTTAAAAAAACTCTTCGGTTTGAGTTTGATGGGATTCTGTAGACCCCCCCCCTCACCCTCCCCCTCCCCAACCGTCTCACACAACAAAGGCTCAGTTTCTCTCAGAGTAGTGAAATAAATCACTTCGCTTACTTTCATTTACGCTGCCTTTCATATGCGCGCGCTTTTGCCGAGGTAAACTTTGCCACCTTGTTGCGGCGCAGCCCGGGTGACTGACAGGTGGGTAACAATCTCTGGGAGGCTTTATCTGTTGTGTGCGCTTCCCCTCAGTTGCTGCGGGTGTATATCATAAGGCTTTTGTTAGCTCCTGTCAGCAGTTAATAGTGCAATTTATTTAACTACTAGCCGGATTTCCATGTAAAAAGCACAGCCGTGTCACACCAGACAAGTGGGAGATGAAGATGGAGGGCCGGGGTGCAGAGGCAGCATCCATCGTTATAAATTCATCTGTGAGCCCGCATCACCTCGCAAGGAAGGGAGAGACACCGTTCCGAAGAGTGTTGTCTTTTCTCATTTTTTTGCCTAACTCACGAGCATGGGATCTGTCATTCTTGCTCCAAGACTGTGTTTTATGGGCCTATATGCGGACTCCCTCGCCTCACTCTGTCTTCATGAATAAAAACCAGGTGCCAGGAAGGTAAAAAGTGACCAGACGCGAAGCTATCTTAGGAATACAGACGGATGCCGAGTCTGTATCGATTTAGTCGGCGTCCCCGTGTAACGTGATTCATGAGAGGGCAGATGCCGGGGCTCAGGATTGGTACGGGCTCACGCCGTGACAGCATGTTTCCCGCCGCACGATAGCCTCTCGCACATTGTGAAGAACTGCGGTCTGGCTTGAAAAGCGAGGCCCCCTTTTTCATGTAGCAAAGTGGTGTTTGTTTTTTCTCCGCAGATGCTGACCCATCTGGGAACCGCTGCGGCCAAGTTGTGTCAATTACGGTGTTAACTACCTGAATATTTGTGATTTTTTTAACTAAATGTAATCATGATAAGCGGTTTAGGGGCTGCAGCTCCCGCCTGTTTTATCTGTAAAATGGGAGGAGGGGATGTTTTCAGAGTGTTTGCTGTAGAAAACAGCAGCTTAAAATGTAAAATATCAGGTAAACAGTGGGAAAAGAAAACGTCTTCACATTTGTCAAGCCTAAACTCGTGTCAGTTTTGAGATTCTTGATTCTTGAATAACTTTTGTAGTCTGACATTTTGGAAAATATGATAATTCCCCTCCTCGCTGAGCATCTGTCAAATTTCTTCTCCCATGTCTGGAGCCAATTAGCACAAACTGAAAGCTGAAATGTGATTTCAAACATAATGGGACTGGAATATCCCACGGCAGAGTTGTTGACACATTGTGGTTAAATGTCACACAGATAAAATAATAAAAAAAAGTTTCAAATACATGATCGGAGAGCTTTGAGCTGTTTTAAAGTAATACTGGAGGATGTGATAGTAACTTATGGGGCTTTTTCCACAGTGGTGGGACAATATGTACAGATGTACAAGCATCATGTTGAAAAGACTAAGAAAAATGTACAAATGACAAACGTTTGGTTCAAATGTCAAAACCAAAATCAGTTCAGAACTGTGTTCAAAGAAAGGGAATTTTAAAATGAGTCAAAAGTCTACTGTTTATTTAACCATGAAGTTATTTCATTTTCACCAAGCACCCACAATGACAACATGCACATCAGTATTCTGATGTTAACCTGATTAGGATGGTACTCTGATTGAGACGCTGCCAGGTAAAACTGCTTTTCTCATCCTTTTAACTGGAACGGAGTCAGATTTGGAGCAGAGTCAGATTTGGAGTAGGTTATAATAAGCAGAGGGGGATGCTTCATAAGATAGAGGCAGAATTAAAATGTCATAATCGGCTGAGTTTTGGGGGACAGTGATGGAAGTCAAACCTTGAATAGGTGCAAACATGGCAGCTGTACTGCAGAAAACAGTAGGCATTCCTCATTTTACCCTGTAAAATGCCAAATGGATTGTGAACGTTTTATCCAATCAGTGACTTATTGAAGCACAATAAGAATACTATTTTTTTCAGAGTCATTAGAATATTTCTGTCCAGGCAGCCAGGGTTGCTGGTTAAATTACTGTCCTCTTCTCTGTATCAACATTAGTCAGCCGTGGGTCATTATTAGTCCAGTGAATAAAACGCTTTCTATAGGTGGTTTTGCATCCATCAGTGTTTTGATGTGAAAAGAACTGAGGTAGAAATGTGACGACGTGTGTACGATTATTTCCAGCCAGAAACGGTGATTCGTGAGGAGGATAGGAACCCAGTGACTAACTTCCACCCAGGACTGACAGCAGCTGCCATTTTTCCTCCTCAATCCTGCTCTTTCTGTCTGGTTGTGACATCAGGCTGTGTCATGTTGAAATAATAATGAAAGACAGGCAGAGCTACAAGGCCGACTCATTACTCCTGAGAGCTACAAATAGATCCTTCAACTTGCTCGTATGTGAGCGCAGGAACATTTTTTTTTTTTTTGGGGTGAATTTAATGGTACTGAACTGTCTTTTCGCCTGAAGGTGAGGCACATAGATCAAGGTAACAACTGGAAATCAGGTACAGCGGAGGGACGCCTCACCTCAATTATTAGGCTGTAGAACCTTCACCTGATCAATAAAGTGTCTTTCATCTGCATGGGAAGATTAATGGCTTGTTGCGATGGGGAGAATACAAGTCAGGCTGAGGAACTTTTGCTCCTCTCTGCATGTTTATAACACAAAGCAGCAGGATGTAAAACGCTCCAAAGTGTATGAAAAGCATGACAGAAGCCCAGAGGGGAGGACACAACCTAGAAAGATGTCCCGATCTTTTTGCAGAGCATCCCCGCAGTAGTTTTTAACAAATCGCTATTAATATAACGACATAATGAACATGACCCAGATATGTGACATATATGGCCAAATGGATTACCTATCTATACACAACTGATTGGTTTAAAATCAAAGAATCTTTTGTACAGACAATCAATGTTTGAGTTCATGCAGTCAAGCACTCGAATGAAACAGATTTTTTTTGGCTTCCACAGTCTGCCTCTATGATAGGTTTAAAATGGACATAGCTTCGGTATCACCCATTAGCTTCACGACTGCTGTTTTGAGCCCTGGAACTCAGCGTTTTTATCCATTATCGGTTCGGGTATCTTAACTTTGAGACTTGAAAGCGGTAAATCGAAGAGAGAACTTAAGAGCAATAAGGACATTGACTCACCTGCCATTCAAAGTCCTGCAAAGAAAAGATTGAGCGTTCCTTTAAGTTTTGATATAATACACCATTCATTCCAGAGAAGTGGGGATGCTGAGAGGATGTGAGCGGAACAATTTGCAAAGCGATGATATTATTCACAATAGACGGAGATAAATGAAAGTTAAATGTTGGATTAGTTCACCGGAAAAATCATTAAATCTTGAATCAAGACATGAAAAAAAAAAAAAAGGTGTTTAATACTGAACATCACTTCACAGAGTAAACATCTGGGCATCGAGAAGTATTTAGATCTTTTATAGATGAAAGTCTCGTCTGATATAATATTCTAGCTGCCCACAATTTTGGGTCTTCTTTGTATTATTTGGTGCTTTATTATGCACCAAATCTTCTGAACATCACTGTGGAGCCATGCCGCTGTAGGAGATGCTGGATGAGATTTAATATGGACTCGCAAAAATGTGCAAGGTCTCCCCTGAAACAAACGGGAGTCTGGATGGGAGCATATGTTGCCCCTAAAACCTGTTTGTACATTTTAGTGCTGACGGTGCTGCTCCATTGTTCAGGTTGCAAGTGCTGGTAAAGTAGTGGATATAGCTTCCGCAATTCTCCAAATGAATTTTACATTTCCAATTCGTCTGACCGCGGAGGAGTTCTCCAGTTTGCTTCGGTCCGTTTTAAACGAGCTATAGTCCTGAGAGGACGGCTGGCTCTTATGGATAGTGGTAGCGCCTCACCTCTTCTTTGCGTGATAGAGCTTTACCTTCATTTGTGGACCATACCGTGAACCATGCTCACAGACAATTATTACTGGAAGTGCTCCTGAGGCCCCTCATTGATTTCCATTACAGAATCACGTGTGTTTCTAATGCAGTTCTGCCCGAGGGCCTGGAGATCTCATCCAATATCAATTTTTCTGTTTTCTAAATTTCACCGCAGTTTACTTCTGATTGACTCTCCCTCTTTTAGGTGCTCCTTTTGTAAGTAAGCAGTTACTAACCTCTTTATAATAATAATTAATAGTTATAATTTCATATTATCCATCCAAGTCTGTGTTATCTTCTCTTCACTTTTTTTTTTATACATTTCACCATCAAATTCAAATTTAGATAAAATGGTGGATGGAGGAAGGAAATGTTGAATGTGTTCATCAAAAACTTCAGATTCACGTCAATATAAAACTTGCTCTCAAGTCAGATTCCACCCCTGGAAAAACGTACAAACAACACTAAGAAAGTATGTTGGTTATACAACCAGGTTGATTTTCCCATTTAATGTGACTGAGTCACTCTCCAGTGGCCTTTTGAAGAATGATGGCTTTTGCACTTCCACAATGGCTTTGTAGTGTTCCCACTTAGGCCGACACTTATTTAATAATGAATAAATCTTCCTGACAGCCATATAATATATTAACATTACAATAAGGCTATCCGAGCCCCTATTGATTGCCGCCCCCCCCCCCTCAGAATGTGATTAATGAGAGCACAGTTGTTGGTCTGAGATGCTCACACCATGACAGCATCTCTCAGGTTGCACTTCCTCATCAGACACGAGCACATGCTCATCTCTCATGAATCGCAAACACTTCATTTAAGATTTAATACCGTGCAGTGTAGCAAAGCTCTGTTTCTATTTTTTACAGATATGTTGATCCAGCTGTGAATGGCTGTTCCCAATTTGTCTGAAGCGGAAACTGACCGGCGTACTGAAGACCAGAGAAAAAAATCGAAGGCTTTTTAACCGAATTCATGCTGAAAAGAACATCTGAGAACTGGAGGATACAATTATTTAATGAAACAAATTAGTGAGGTGTCTTTTAAAATCTGCAAAAGTTCATTTCGTAAAGGCAACTTTAGGATGATTCAGTGGGCGGGGTTTTACAGAAACAGACCTGAATCTGCTGAATTATTAAGAGGCCGCTGACAACACTGAAATATTCTACTTTGTGGACTTTTTGTAAATAGAAAAGGAAATGAAACAGATGATCATGTTGCCGTTCTTTGGGGGGATCCGAGTTATAAAACGTAAGTAATCCCATCAGTGGACTTGATCTCAGTATGGATTATTTCCTCCTGTCGGTTCTGATCTGCCTGTTTTCCTATCACAAGCCTCCTTTTAAACCACAAAATGTGCTTCCTTCTCGAGGCCGAAACCAACCTTCAAACACAGCCCTTTCTGTCCCTTCTCTGAGGGCTGAGAGCTGTTAACCCTAAGATGATGGAATCTGGAGGGTTTTCAGGAGGTCACTTGACACGTAACCGACTCCGTGAACCGGGACTTCTCGCTGACAGGTTTTTCCTCAATAAACTCGGAGTTGCTGTCTGACTCATCCCCTCAAACTAAGCTTGCAGAAGCTGTCTGAAATGATTTTTCTTTTTCTTTAGTCCGTGTCAAGGCACTCACAAGTAATGCAAGGAAGTTTCAATCTCTGTAAACCTCTGCTGGATGGATAGGAGCGGGCGATTCTCAGAGAGGGAGCAAATGGCTGCAGATACCCTCAGTCCTTCATCAAAGCCGTGCCAGAACACATCTGTAGGAAGCTTTGGACAGCTGGATATTGGCTGCCCTCACCTTTTCAGCGGAGGGTCAGCAAAATCAGGTCTGTGAGGACATTGTATTTCTTCGGTTAGATCTAAATCCGAGTCCTCATCTCACTCGGAGGCTTCGAAATCCTACAATCCACTTCCTGCTTCCCAGGAACTCCTGCCTTCAGAAACAGATACGGCCTCCATTTTAAAACAACCAAATAAAGACTCCTACGATTAATAAACAATCATTTCCCCGGAAAAGTAGAATTCCGGCTGGCACCGTTCAGTCAGAAGACAAGAGGTTAAGTAAGTGAACCCTTTTGAGCATTATCAGACTTTCCTAAAAATATATTTCCATAAAATTGTGTACATTTATGTGCAGTGTAATGAGAAAACAAAGAGCATGTTAAATAATAAGGCTCAAAAGATCACGATATTAGTGACAATATTGTGACACGCACAACTCCATCAGACTGGAAAAGACGTGGTGTGCTGAAATATGATTTCCTCATTTATCTATTTTTTTACATGTTGAGGATCTGGTGTTTTCAGTAAGGTATTGTTATGTGAACAAATGACTTGTTCATATGACAAGATTTCAAATATTATGTCAGACCACGTCTCCGAACAGTGTGTGTGTGTATAAATCATTCATTTCAGATGCTACATGGGGCTATTGCTGCCTCTGCTCCACTTTAGAAAAGCCCAAGTTTATTTTTCTTGGCGGCGAAGACGGACACTCTTGTTGGCTCGAACAATCTGTGCCACAAATTTAGACCAGCCTGCGCGACTCTTCAGCCCGAAACCTCTCTGCCTCTCCGGAGCTGGCCGCTCCAATATCCCTCCTGCCCGGCGAGTCGGGTGTGACGGAAAACAGACACTGATCTTTATTAGCATAGGGAAACCATAGTGACAGCAGAGTGGAGGGCCTGGGAGAGAAACAGAGCGTGTTCAATTCCTCCTGCTGCTGCTGAAGTAGCAGCAGGAAAAAAACACAGGACACCGAGTCCATTCTGAAGAGTGTTTAAGATCAAACAATTCCATCTGAGATGCAGTGGCTTTAAGTTATATTGTCTCTGCTGCCAGCCTGGAGCAGGCTGATTGTATGTGGAGACTTGAGCGGCTGCTCGGCCTTTTGAAAAAACAACGCTGCAAGAGAAAGGAAGCCGCATTTAAAAGCCTCCGTGGTCTGTTTGAAATGTTTCCAGCAGGGAAAAACAATAGAGCAGGAGTGTAAGTCAACTCAAGCTCCTCCGAATCCAAGCATGTCTGTGTGGGATAAATAAAAAAAAAGATAGGCTTACCCTATCTGTAGCACAGCATACCATCGTGAAATGGAAAAGTCAAACTAATGGTGTCGTCTTCAAAGAAAAGCAGATCTGGTATTTTTCTACCATTCAAAGTTATTTAAGAGCAATTAGGAAAGGCTTAAGAAACAAATCAGGCAATTAAAGATGTACATTTATTCTTTTCATTCAGTGTTTCATGTTTAATCAAGACATCGGAATCCTCCAAATGAGGAAATAAAATGTGCTTTCCTGCTCTGAAAGGAGGGCAGGGAGAAGAGGATTACCCAAAATAAAAATAAGGGAGGGAAAAAGAATAAGCGTTGCATAAATAATGTATGTGAAAGGTAGGCGATGGCTGACGCAGCAGCTGCCTTCTGATACATACGGTTTCATTTCCATCTCCATCTATTTTTCCATTTGGGCTGCGAGGGAGATTGGCAGCGGGAAGCCGATGGGGCGGGTCTTTGCGCCCGAGGAGTGAAGATAAACTTCCGCCAGTTCAATCCACGCTGCTCCGGCATCAGTCACCCACTCCCCGCCCCAGACAATGAGCCTAACGCAGAGGAAAAAAGCCGCTTCGATCTGGACGGCCGGCCTCTGTCAGAGGCTTTCACTTGCCTCGAGACGCAAAACGGCCGAGAAAAAAAAGCGGCCCGTCGCCCGGAATACAATCAAGCTGTGAGCACAGCTTGGAAGCTAATGGATGTTTCCACAGGGAGGGCAATTCACCGAACGGGGAAGTGGATGGGCCCATCACGGCAGATGGGATTATGCGCGATTGTTATCCTTCATAAGGGTGATACAACGGTCAAGAGGTGTAATGTATATGGACAGGGGGGGGACATTAAATAGTAATCTCTCCACAGCCCACTCTCAGCCAATCAGCCCCACTCTCGCTGTGTTCTGACCCAGCAGACGTTCAGAGGAGCACTTAAACAAATAGGCCGCCGCCGCTGAAATATGCGGTGCGACGCGCTCACAAAACAAATCAAATTATCCCCGGGCTCAGTTCGGAGCATTTTAAACCGCCACGCCACCGAGAAACACTTTCGCAGTGCACAAAATTGGACGCGGAAATAAATATCTATGTTGAAAGACACAAAATTCTCCAAACGGGAGCGGAGAGCCATCAGCCCGACAGGAGAAAAAAAAAAAAAAGAAAAGAAAAGAGGAACCGAGAGTTGTCAGCCCTACGTCAAAATGCTGCAAATACCTCCACGTTCAGAAATATCAGTGTGCGACAAAAAAAAGGAGCCATCCCCCGACGAACCCCTCGGCTGCACGTCCTCGGGCGTCCAGCCGGCCGAACGCCGGGTCGTCAGAAGATGTGTTTGAGGTGTTTGACGCCGTAGGTCCTGAAAAACACCAGCAGGATCAAAGTCCACAGGCCCAGGATGAAGCCGTCAGGAGGATGCCAGTCCTTCTGCTTTGGTTTCTGCGGGGGGTTGCGGGTGAGGAGGGGGGGAAAACAGAGGGGGGGGGGGGGGGGGGGGGGGGGAAGAGGGCAGGTTAGTGATGGTGTGTACGTTGCTCCTGTTGAGGCCACCGCTGATTGTTCTGTCATTCACACAGGCGGGCGCTCAGCCCCACGCGCGCTCGCTTTATCTCCTCAAACACTTTATGAGCGCTATCTGCAGTCTCACGCACACGGACACAAAAGTTCACAGGGGGAAGCGGGTGGTGGAGCTCATCAGTACACCTCCCCTGTCTTGTGTTTGTCCCATTCACTGCCACATCATCACTTTGTGTATGATTATACTTTTAAATCTGCCTCGTATTAAACATGCATCTCACAAGGAGCACATTTATATGCTAATGCGGCGGCAATATTCCGCCGAGAGATGAGATTTAACCTCTAAAAATCTTCCAAACTCCTCTGCCGCCGATGAAGCTACGGATGGGCTGCGAGGATGCGCCGAGGAGATTTCTGTTATCCCTCGCCGTACTTTTTCCGATCGCAAGTAAGGCCGGGCATCCCGCAAATCCCCGGCGTACACCTGTAGGGGGGCTTAACGCGAGGCGCTTTAAAGCCACGACAGCAGTCGCCGTGCACGACGCCCTTTTTTCTGCACCCGTCCTCCACCGGCCGCAGCAGAGGGTGGGGACCGATCTGACCATCCAGCACCATCACTATATACAGGTTATTAGCTATGGAGCTAATAACTAAAGGAAAACGGCATTTCTGAGGTTGTTTTTCGACCTTTTCCACCTCAGCCTCCAGCGTGGGCGAGCGGCCCGAGCTCCATCTGCACGGCAACGTCTGAAGAGCACTAGAGGAAAAGGACCAAACACCTATCAAAGTTTGTGCTAATCAGCATAAAAGGTAATAAACTCGTTACTCCCGACTGAACCGTGGCATCAAAAGACTTCCCAGATCAGATTCGGATCTAGCTTTGATCGCGTGCCTTTTGATACCAAGTTCTTCTTTAGAAAAGTGTGTTCTGTGAAATTAAAAACACTCCAAAGACAAACACGCTGCCTCCTTATTACTTCAAGGCTTAGAGAGAGCATCTGCTGGACATTGAGGCCCTTCAGTTCAGAACCTGAAGCTGGACTCATGCTGCTGTACTATGGGCAGAATGAAAATGAAGGGAAGAAAAAAGGAATAATGAAAAAAAAAGAGTCATTATTTCTTTTATCTGGGCTCCTGCTTGTATGATTTCTTTCTTGCACTGCAGAGCTGGGCGAAAAAGAACATCACTTCAAGCCTTGGAACGCCTTACAATTGTGAACAGTGCCAGAAATCATTGTAATATAACCAAGTTGTAAGAGCAACACGTTAAATTGGCTCACGCGCAGAACATTTTCCTCTGATCTTGATGCCTCACTGGTAGAATTTCAGTTTTGAAAGAGTGCCGTTGCCTCGCAATTTCATTCAAGTAGACGGTCTCATATTTTGCTGAATGTCCTCTTCAAACAAGAGGCGAGGAGTGCTGAATGGCCATATGTAGAATGGAGTCCTCCGCTGTATTTGTCAGCACATATAAATGAGAGGCTGGCACATTCAGTGCTGAGGCGATAGCTGGATATGTCCAGTGACTGAAATTGCCACCCAGTCGGCAGAGAAATCTGCCGTCGGCAGTACTCGAACTCCTCTGGTATATTTATTTTTGGGCCTGCCTGCAAACTACTGAACAAACTCTGTCCGCGGAAAGCTGAACAATCGCTATCAGTCTCAGATAGGCTTTTCAGTGGTGCCTCATCCTTCCTTTAGAAAGGGGCGGGGGAGGGGGAGGGGGTAATGAACTTGACTCCCCTGAATGATAAATGCACCGGGTCAAATTCATGAGATCCCTTTTAGAACAGTCATTATCATAGACTTTTTTTTTTTGCTCTGCCTGGCCCACCCCAAAAAAAAAACATTACATTTCTTATTAGTTGAGCCAATCTCAGAGAATTGGAGGTCATCCCCAGGAAGTGCGCGCCCGTGTTCTCGTGCCTCTGTGCGACCCGGGTGCCCTGTGTGAGCGTGTAAAGGCTGTCGGGGCAGTCCACGGTGCCAGTTTCCAACGTGGGGAGGCCGATGGACGGCGGTGAAATTGGATTACGTCTGACTCTAAATTTATTTAACAGCTCAATCAAGTCAAATCGATAGAGTTCGGCTGCCATAGAGAATGCTAAAGCGGAGGCTGTGAAGCGTTGGCAGCCTGTGTCGGAGCCGAGCCCCCAGACGGGCAGACGGTTGGACGGAGTCGGGGCTGAGAGTCCGAGGTTAACAGCTGCTAATTCAAAGGTGCTTTCCGGTGGCAGACATCAGCTGACGCGTCCCGCTCATAGTCTCACAGTTTTTCTGCATTCAAGCACTGAAAGGCAAACCAAGTCTGATTAAAAAGGAAAGGTTCCAGGGGTTCTGACTTTGAATGAAACATCTGTCACAGTGGAGAAACATTTTAATCAAGAACTGCTTTAATTACAATTAGGCACCATATTTTTCTAACCTTCCAGTCAGGTTCTCGTCTTTATTCCTAACTAGAAACACACAGAAAATTCCACTAATAAAGCTACTCCCAATCCATAGTGAACAATCCAGCACTTTCCTATTGAAGGGCATTCCCTCAGACGAGGTTTCTAGGAGCTTTCTGCTAAACTAGGTAACCAGAGAGAAAAAAAATTACCTTGGTCAAGCAGGCAGACTACCAACAAAGCAACGGTTGCTATGAATACGGGAAAATTCACCATTTGACCACTCAGACCTTCATAGTAGAGTGGCCAGATAGAGGCCATTACCCACTAAAAAGGCACAAGACATACTGGTCAGATCATTGGAGGATAAAAACAAACAATAAAGGAATCTATGGAGGTCTGTCTGTGACCCTGAAAGTGGAGGAGAACATCCCTGTTCACTGAAGCTCATCGTACAAAATAGTTTCTGCAAAGAGGAATTAGGAGAAATATCTAAAGGAAAGATGTGCCGAACCTCTGCGATCATTTCCCAAAAGAGAAAAGGCTGCCAAAGCAGCTTTAATCAAGCGCAATGTGAAGGGTATACACTAAGGTAAAAGGAACATTTTAAAGCAGCTCTCACGTTCCCGCTGGAAAAAAACTGAGGACTGATGAAAAAAAATAGTCAAATCCTTTTTAAAATGGTTCTGAAACAAATGTGGCAGATTTGAAAGGGTGGGAAATGTATCAGTCAGCGCCCCGTCCTCAGCGGCTCTGACAGAAACCAAGAACAGAGTCCTCCAACAGACAGACCGACTTCAGTGAGGAGCAGAGATAATGAAGCTCTGACTGTAAAAGGATGCTTTTTAACATCCAAATGAAGGCTGCTTTGTGAGAGATTGACAGAAATAACAGGAGGCATCTCAGACGACCTCGTTTGTCTGACATCGCAATAGCACACATCAAAGTGGGTGTTCAGCTTAAAAAGAACAACAGAAAAAGGAAAAAAAAAATGTAGAAAATAAAAATTGACAGCTGGCTTGAGACCTCTTTTTGGATTTGATTTCTCCCCCTGAGACAAATCCCATGAAGGCCAGTGTTAATGCAGCAAAAATATGCACGAATGCTGTCTTTTTTTTTTTTGTCTGCTCTGGCTCAAACATAAGATGTGAATTGGTATTCTTTCATCTGCAGTCCAGTGACCAGCAGGAGGAGGACGGTCAGAAGAGATGACTGGGAGCATGAGGCCAGTGGGGGCAGCTGACCTCTGAGGCATTGGTAGGCTGAGGTGTGTGTGTGACTGGGGCTCTTAGTGGGTATACATCCCTTTGTTTGTGTGTGTGTGTGTGTTTGTGTGTGTGCTAGAGGCGAAGCTCCTGGGACACCGAGCGGCAAAGGGAGACGAATGGAGTGTGACAGGTGGCCACATCAGCACATGTCAGGAGGGGAAGGGAAAGGAGAGCCGGACAGAAGACAAAAAACTTCCGGTAAAAGTTCCGTGAAAGGTGGTGATACAGTTTCTCATCCGAGTAAGTCTCGTGAACCTAATCTTCCTTTTAATAACCAAATCATTTTGCGTGTCATTGTACGTAGCTGGATCAATAATGTCTTAATTTCTTTACGCAGTCAAACCTCATTTTAAAAGAACTACGACAACGATCACCTTCCCCGTCAGGACTGCCCTCCAGAGCACATCTGTGTGCTCCTCCTCTTAAAGCCTGAGGCGACACGAGCCGTTTATCTGTGGCCGTCAACGTCAAAAGAAAATTACGACCATTAGAGATAAAGGCAAAAAAAAGGCCATTTCTTTGTTATATAGTTTAATAAAAACCGACGGATGCAAATGCTAGAAAATTGACACGGAAATGCTTAAGGGGTGTGTGGAATCTATACTGGTCACACAAAAGGTCCCCCAGGGCCCACTGTGCTTCTGAAAAACAGTCCTTCCCCAATAAGTCTGAAGCCAACACGAGGATGACACCAGTCTCCAGATGACGGGAGAGCGGGAGCTAAAAAGTGCCGAATAATCGCTGACCTTCACCGATTAGACTCCTCTCATCCCACCGGCAAGGACGGGGATGCTGTGGAGCGGTCTTCTTTTCTTTTTTTTTTTTCCTTCAAAGAATTCTTTTATTTATTTATTTATTTTTTAACCCTGCATTCAATTCAGCGGCAAAAATCAATTAATAGCCGCTTGTGTGATTGATCGGGGCTAATTAACATGGATGTGGACGACGCCGGCGGTCCGGAGGGAAGTCTGAAGCACCTTATCAAGCGCACTCCAAGGACAAAACGGCAGCGAATTTATGGTGTGCGGGGCCGGATGCAGGAAGGTTTCCTGCCGGCGTGCACTGCCGGGACACTCCACTGTATTGCCTTGACATTTACGCCTCCAGTAAACGCTGAGGCAGACGGAGAAGTGGGCGTATTATGCACACACCGAGCATGTTTCGCCTTTCCAGACAATAAAAAAAAAAAAAAAATCGGAATTTTCTGAGCATCAAAGCAAATCCCAGTTGATGTTTCATTAAACAGACGCGGATTGGGGTTTTTTGGCCTGTGATCCAAATAATCCTAACATCCACATTTTCAAAAGTGTCATTGTTGCGGGCTGAGCGAGGGGAGAGGGATTTGGCGAGCGACGGGAAGGCAGGCAAAGCATTAATTTTCACTGTTTCCATTTTCAATTCTCCGGAGCCATATGGGGTGGCGTCAAGCTGGCAAAAGAACAAATAACAATTTGACGCCAGGGACCACAGCTCACAGCCGCGAAAGGGGGGGGGGGTGGCTGCTGTACAATACACAAGAGGGAAAAAAAGAGAGAGAGTGAGAGGCAGGGAGCTTGAGTTATTTCCAGAACTGAACATATTGTGATTAGGCGCTGGCAGGAGAGTGAGATAAGTGAAGTTTCACAGAGAAGGAATCGCCCTTTCATCACCCCCGACGACAGGGCACTAATTAAGTCATCACATGCTCACAAACACAATAGGAATTAGTTTTTCCAGCATATAGCACGCCCTGTGTGCCATGCCGGGTTTTTGAGGGGACAAAGAAGCCTCATTTCTATCTGCGACCGCCACGGAATGCCTTCAGGTGTGGAGCTGAACGGACCAGAGTCTGGTCTGTGGTCTGGGGTCCAATCAGATCCGAATGTCTGATCGGCCGCGTCGCCACGGCAGCAGGAAAACAAAGATATTTCAGGGGGCGCCGCGCTCCTATGACAGCTAATCAAACAGAGCGGGCCTGATGGACATTGGTCATTCTGCTGCAGTGCAGACGGACCCCGGTGAAAGGGGGGAGAGATGACTCAGTCTGTCAGAGCTCCCATCTCCGGCCCAGCAGGAGCGCCAGCCGATAATCGAAATCCCTGCCAGGGGTCGCTGGGTTGCACAGAGTGTTTGTGTGCTGTACGTGTGGATGCACTTTTTAAAAAATACCGGCTGAAAAGAAACTGGAGAAAGACAGAAACGCACCAGAAAATGAAAGGAGAGGGGGGGGAGGGCAAAGAGGGAGAGAGCAAGATATGGAGCCAAGCAGCAGATGGAAGCGACTTAATGGAGTGTGTTTGTGTGAGTTATTGTGCAAGTTTCCCCATTGTGTGATCATCATTTTCAATCCATAGAAGCAAAGAGTTTAGAAGAAACTCTTGCGAGCAGCAGGCAGCAGATCTGATGAGACCCAATATTTGCAGACCTTTTTGGGCACTCCTGAGCTAATATTCCGGAGCGGCGCGGGCCGCGGGGACCCCTCCTGTTTTCTCATCACACCTCTCGGTAAACTTCTGACCGGCCGGGAGCAGGCCTGTGGTCAGCCTCATCTCTGTGGGCCAAACTCGCTGCGCTCAGGCTTTAAAAATCGAAAAGCCAGATTTGAAGTTTGGCATCCACTCAGCAACAGAGATTACTTTCTATGTGTTCACACAAGCAGCTGAGAGAAGCAGATAAACTGTCACTCTTTACCCATCAAAAATGTAATCTATTATTAATTTAAGCGTTAAAAAATCTGCCCGTGTTGTTACTCCAAGCTTAAATCTTTTGGAACCACATCTCTGTTTATGGATCACGTGACACTGAAATCAAAACGAGAAAACCCTTGAAATGTGCTGTCAAAACAGCCTTTAATTGCTTTAAAACTGACTTCACGTGTTATGAGCCTGAGTGAACTCAAACTTCTGAGTTTACTGACGGGATTTTTACACCTGAAAGTCCAACTTTGGCCCCACTTTGAATCTTCTTGTGCACGAAATGTGCTATGAAAAGAAATTTGCCCTTGCGGTGTCCGGTTTGGCTTTGCACTGCAGGCTTCATTCAGTCGCAAATTTCTAAATTAACCACGACATAAAATGCAACAGTTAAAGTTAGTTTGAAGTCGGTAACCTGTCAGTTATTTAATCCTCACCTAGTCCTCCTCGTAAATTCTGCACAGCATGCCGCTCCAACATAGAGCATAAATAATCCAATGAGCAAAAAATAACCCAAAAAACACCATATGAAAACATCTACAGGTTATTTATGTTGACCATTTCCACACAACTTCAACTTTCAATTGTTTCACATTAGTATGAGGGAGTGCGTTAACTACCTACTACCTACTAACTACCAACAAAACGAGGTCAATAACTTCTTATTTACAAGGTCCATTTTGTTATAGTCCAGTAAACAATAGAAAAAGATAAGTTCTAGTCGGCTTAAATGAAAGGAAGCAGATATGAGACTAGATAGAAGTCATCCGATCCAACGGAAATCCGGACTATTTGTTGGAATGCTGTGTGATCAGAGGCTCTAAAATCCTTTTCACCTTTTTACTAACTCTGAAAACATTTTGTTCTCCTTCTTCCAACAACGCGGAGAGTCATGTTAAAAAGCCTGGAAAGTGTTTGCCTCCCTCCCTCTCACAAACACATACAGAAAAGTATTTTTGATGGCCTCATAATGGAAAACTCCAGCAATCAAAGGACCAAAAAACAACAATTTTGAATGCAGAGTGCAACACGAAAAGGAGGACTGAGGGAAAGAGGTGTTCATTTGTGAAGGTCGACCTGACTGAAAGCCTCAATCCATTTGGGAACGAGGTGAATTCGTCATTGGCGGCCGCAGTCGTGCCGCTCCATTCTGCTGGATTTCACGGTGGCCCCTCCACACCGACAAGAGCAGGCAGCCACATTTCACACTTACATCTGTCACTATGGAAACGGCACAGTGTGATGGTGCACCAAACTTTCTGCTCTGTGTCAGAATGAAGGAGGAATGTGGAAGGCGTTCAGAAACGTTCAGAAATAAATACGGACGTGTATAAAAGATTAAATAAAAAGTTAAAACGATAATTAAACAAAAGGATTTGTCTGATATGCTTTCATTTCAAACTGAATTCAAACTTCAGAAATGCTATTTTGTCACTCATTTTTAGTTTTATTGTTACTTTAATTGGAATTTATATGATTGCATTCTTCGTTAGTTCATTTCTTTCCAAGGCTGCCTCCATTTTTGGTCAAATTGTATAAACAACTGCTAGAGAACAACTGACTGGCTTTTTATTAACAAGTGACAGTACCAGTAATGCCTATGGCAATGTTAAAACAGTGAGTGGGCAAAGGAAAACATGAGGACAAAGAGGCTCAGGGAGATAAACAGGGCAGTGGAATGAAAAGGGGAAATGATAGAAGTAAACAGATCGGGAATCATCATCACTTAATGACCACGTCAAGAATTTTGTTTTTAATTATTTGAGGGAATGACGAGATCAATGAGACGTAGAGACAAACCAATCAGATACACTGATTGGAAAAGCACATAAATAAAGAAAAACAAACACGTTCCAATCAAAATTAGAAATAACACAGAAAATTGAGTGGCAAAGAAAATAAACAGCACTTAACACGAGCTTAAAATGCTTCACTTATTTCCCATTTTGGTGAATTCATCTTGAACCCAATATCATTTATGCACTTTTAGCAGCATTTGCCGTCATATAAACTTTTTTACGTGACCATTCATTTGTGTGGTGTAGATTTCACGCCCCAGTCTTCCTTTAGGGGAGCTTTACCACACTTCAAATAAGGAAAACAAAACAAAACCCGGAGCGGGTTTGAGTGCTTACGAGGATCTCTTACCTGATGGATGATCTCAGACACTGGCAGCTGGTCGGCATACGAGAACACCTTGCCGTGCTCGTCGTCATTCATGGGACTATAAAGCAGAGCACAAAGCACAAAGCAGGCATCTGTCAGCGTCTGGGAATAACATACCGTTTGATGGAGGAGTGCAATCAACTGGAAATAAACAAATAACAGATTTTTTTTTTTTATAACCCAGCAAGCAAAGCAACACAACTGTGAGAGCAGCATCATTTCTTTTGTGATACTATGCAGAAAATCTATATTTCGACCACAAATAACGAACATCCGTAGAACAATGAAATCGGCTTTGGAGACATCTGGAGCCGGCTGCTGTTTGTTCCAGATGCAACACAAACGTCGACTCGTGGCGTTTCCACGAACAACCTCTCCTCGCTCTGTACAACCTAAAGATGAATATAATCAGAACACTAAAGATGAATATAATCAGAGCACATTGTAATCATGCTCGGGAGGAAGTAACTGTCTTTGCAGAAGAAATAGCCTGGGCAAAAGGCTGAAAAAGAACAAGTTGTGCCTATTGTGAGCAGAAAATTAGCTTCCTTTCATAAAAGGAAAGCTACTAAAGGGCTACTGTGTGTTATTATGGGGCTGCTCTCTGCACCCAGTAAAAAAAGCACATTATAATCATGAAAAGCAGAACATGCTAATCTTTCCCTGTGTCAAACATTTATAGAACTTGGTTTGATGAAGCATGAGGCACAAGAAACTAAAATCTACAAGGTGATTATTGACTTTAATTGGTACTTATAGCGAATGACCACGTGCAGATTCTACTTTTATTCATCATGGATATCTCTCACTATGGCAAGTAAGAATTTAATTATATTAAAGTACATTTAGCTTCATGACAGGTCCAGAAACATTGTAATTTTATAAATGCAGACTGAAAGGTAGATAGCGAGGCTTCCCAGCGTCCACCGAGGCTCCACTGAACAGAAACTCTTTCAGAACTCGACGGCATCAATGAGCCTGACAAAGGACAATGTTTCCCCTCTGAGTGAGAAAGTCATTAATCAAAACAGCTTCTTAGTATAATTTACATTTTGTATTTTAAAGCCGACTACAGAAAGCTAGAATATCTGACACAATTAGTCTGGAAAAATAGTCCAATAACATAGAAAAACCTCTGGACTATTCATTACTGATGGGGGAGAAAAGAAATTAAACCCAGGTTTATTTTCAGTGCTGTAAACTTTCCTCACTGTGTTTCTCCTTTTTGACCCTTTTCCTTAAAGACATTATTCTGATAATGAACTTGTGTTTCTGAGATGCTGTTGTGGTGTCGTCTCTTTTCTCTCAGACCCGAGCTGCTTCAGGCAGATGTTCTCCCTTCCTCAGTCTGCTTCTGCCAGAGGTTTCTTTACGTTAAAATAGAGTTTGTTTTCCCCACAGAGGTTTTCAGCGGGCTCAGGATGGAGGATTATATCGGGGAGAGGAATATTTGGGACAATCTGCTTGTTTCTTTAGCTAGACTTGAACTGACTGGATTTTGAGTTCAGTAAAATCTGTTGGTTCTAATTGTCTTGGATGGTCTGTGGACTCCTTTGTGTGATGACATCTGTTGTGATTAGGCGCTGTATCAATAAAACTGAATTTAATTAACTCTGCAGTTAAAACGGGACACGTCAGAATGAATGAGACACATTTTGTCAGCCTGGGATGATGTTTTTTTAAAGTTTTTTTTCTCCAACATCAATCATATTTCTGAAAATAATTGTTCTTCGTTGTACGTCCATAAAACATGCAAAACTTCACTAAGTATCTCTTTTCTTTATATTTGAAGTAAAACATACTATTATAACAAAAAGATAAATCTCTGGATTCCGACACATCACAAAGTGGGGGATTGGGATCATTTTTCCAGCAAACAGCCCTCTTTCACTGGTTCACTGGAGAAAGGTTTGTTCAAGCTTTGCTGTGATATGATGGGAAATAATGCTGGTGGTGGAGGTGGTGGTGGGGGGAGGGTGGGGGTGGTTGTACACCAACAGCCGCTAAAAGAAAAGGTCACTACATGCTTTGACTGGCACATTTTGGATTTTCTTGAACAGAAAGCAACAAAATTATTTCCAGACTCCGTGTTGCTTATATTTTGCTGCAGGGCCCTATTTTAATGTCTCAAACTCCCAGAGATCTCAACTCATCAGGCAGGAGCTCAGGAACACTGTCAGCTTTCAGATCTAACTCTGAGAGGTGGAAACTTTAAGAGCTGAAGATTTACAGCTGCAGAAGGTGGAGTGCCTTGAAGACCTTGGAGCTGCAGAGTGTTTGCTTTTGTTGCAAACATTCCTCCCCCCGTAAGAAATGCTGTACCTGCACTCCACGGCCTGACTAACAGAGAGGAGAGAAACTCAATGTAAAGGATGTAGCTTTTCATATAAAAAAGATTAGATTTCAGGGCATTGTGTCAATACTAAGAGTTCACACTAATGTGACTAATAATCCCAGACACAGAATCTGCACCTGAATCATGATCAAAGTTAAATACCAGAACGATAAAGATTTTACCCGGATCATTTATTTTAAACCTAAAAAAAATTTCCAACAGACATGACCGGATGAAACACCATTTGCTTTTGTGTGTTTTTTAAACGGTTGCACTAAGTAAGGATTCTTTAGATTTAATAAATATGTGTTTTGTCCTTAAAAGCCCTCCCCCCGCTGTGAAATAACGGCTTCATAAAAGAGAGTAAAGGTTTTTAAGCATAGACTGGCCTCGTTTTTCTAAAATCTTCATTCTTTTCACAAAGGTACCCATGAAACTGTGTGACCGTCATGGGTGCCTGGAGCCTTCATCAGCAGGAGCGTTTTATTAATTCACTTGTCTTATAATGACGGTGGATCTGAGGGTCGAGTTCAGCAGCAGAAAAAAGGTTTTTTTTGTTGTCGCTGGGGAGCAAATGTGGTAACCATGAAACTAAATAGATTTGTTTTTTCTGTAATTCAAAGAGCTGATCAGTTGGACAGAAACCATTTAGACTGGGAGCTCGACTGTTGAATTAAGTGGCACAATTCTTTACAAAAAAGACACACAAAAAAAGGCTGTCCCAAAAAAAAATCCACAACAACAGATATATGACTGAAAACATTCACAAAACATCTCCACTTTTTTGTGGCGTTTGCTTAACATCACCCACAAAAGAAAAAAACAACAACAACAACAAAACATGTGTGACCTGCTTTTTTTCCTCTTGAAAAGATTTCCGCTTTCAGTGGGAATGAGGAATGAGATTAGGGCTGAGAGTGATTGAAATGTCAGGAAGGATTTGAGAGAAAGACAAAGACGGTTCACGGGATTTGCAAACATAGAAAACCAACTGGCATCCATTCATGGTTTTAACCGCTAAAGCACAGAAGTGAGCCCTTTGTCTTTAAAGCACTGTTTAAATGTCTGAACATTCAGCATCATTTTCACCTCCAGACCTCTGATCTGCTGACCACACAACTCTACCCAGTCCAGCCAAATTGCCGGCTGATGGCTGTACAGACACTTTCTCACCAGCTGGCACCAGCACTCTGTTACAGCCAACAAACAACACATAAACTAAACTTACCCTGAGACGGTCCAGATTTTTACATGAAATAGAACAAAAACACACCATAGAACTAAACTCTTAGTATAATAGTGAAAGTTAGAACACACAGAGCTCAAAATATTCCACAAAACTATTGCAACTATTAGAAAACTATTACAAATTAAGCCCACAGAGCAGAAATCATGACTCAGAAACTTGGTTTAAAAAATAAAAAAAATCTGATTGGTTGAGCTAAATGTGACTTCCTAAAGAAATGAGAAACAGGAGCCACAAAGGGAGAGACTAGCACATTGATCCAGCTCAAAGAAATGTCCGTTAAGTAAGAATGAAAACATATTACAGCCCGGTAAAAAAGTTCAGAGAAATTCTCAAGTTGGAGGACGGCAGAAAAATGCAATTAAAGGCAAGAATGGGATGGTTTAAGAGCGGCAGCTGAGGTCACAAATTGCCTGTCCCCCTCCCAAAGTGTAGAGGCCGTCTTTATGCGAGGCAGTAATTTCAGGCTCTGCTGACGTTATAACCAACACTTTACACCCCCATTACAATAAATCCCCTCCAAACCTTGCCGGCATTGCCAAGGAGGGTTTTTGATTTTTTTTTTCTATTCGCCACTGTTTTTGAAAGCCCGTAACGTACCAGCTAAATGTCACAGTCGAGAGCAGGTTCGAGTGAGAGGCTGTCTTTCATGGAAAGTTCAAGCCAGCCAGCCTCCGAAAAAGTGGGCCAAGTCTCCCTGTGAGCCTCTACCCATGAACCGGGCAACCTGTTTGCCTTCCTTTTCCTCTTTTTTTCCCCCCCACTTGCTCTACGCCACCGTTAACATGTGTCGCTCGGTAATCTCCCGCTGAACTCTGAGCGCTCTTTGCCACTGGAAACATGTCTGTGCGAGGGCTGATCTCCTCCAACCACTTTACCCCCCTCCCCCGTTAACTTAGCCGAGCAGATGAGCTTTAATTCAATTCAGACCACTTTCCACTTTATTTTCCGTGGGCCAGACGTTTGGATTTTTCCCATCCACCTAATTGATCCTAATGGATGTGGAGCCCCCCCCCCCCCCACCCCCCGATTCCCCTCCTCCGGCTCGGATATCACAGCTGTCTCCAGCTGCCGTCTTTAGGTCAGACAAATCTCCTTTTAACACCTGCCCTATTAAAAGCCATTTTTTTCGCCGATTCGTTCTCGTGCTGCAGGTCACAAATCAGGTTAGACTTTCTTTCAGATTCAGTGGGGGGGGGGGGGGGTACATTTGGCCTTGATTTGACGGCCGTAGTCATTCTGGGAACAATGCAGCCTGCGGGAGTATGTGTTAGGGTCAACAGCCGGCCGTGGCTTTGAGTGGATAACTACGGGGTCATAGCAGTGTTAAGCCTACCTCCATTAAAATGTACTCTCAATCAAGAGCCATTCACTTAATGGAAGAGCCAAAAGGGGGGGAAATAAGGACATGCTAGGAGATAAGTTAAGAGGGAGGCATCGGCCGTATTGACGGTGGCCCGACAAGTTTCCAAAAGTGGAAAACAGCAGCTCTACATTTCACAACAGCTTCTTTCTTTCATAGGATGTCTCTGAGGGCTCTCTGCAAGCCGTTGGCAGGTCTTATGAAACACTGCTCTTTACTTTATGAGTGGCATCTGGACAGAGGGCTCACAGAGAACCTGGGCAGTGATATTAAAGCAAAACAAGACATTTCCAGGTAATTTTTAGAGATATTTAGAAAAGTTCACAAGGCAGTAAACTTCCTCCAGAAACCTGCTGATGTGCCGATTATCCTCTTTAGACCCGACAATTAAAACCATACATATGCCCGCATTAAATCTTTTTCAAATGTCAGCTGAAATTTTTTTCTGCTATTTTGATGGGATAATTTAACATGATGTTCGTTAACTTTTTTTGAGGCGGAAAATTCAAGTAGGATGCCTGGAGAATTAGAGAGCTATGCACATATTTTGCCATTCCTTCTCATAGTAGGATCCTTTGCCATGACGTTATCAGACACTAACAGGAATCTCAGCCTAACTGATGCAGATAAAAGCACTTTAACCGTGCCGTGCTGACTATGCTGTTTAACTTTAGCTCCGCATGATATTCTATACGGTTCTGATTGCAAAGTACTTTGTCCTCATTAATATTTTACATCCAAACACAAAGGGATACAGTTCAGCTTGACGACCACTAGCGTTTAATGGTTCATCTGAGATCCTGGTAACGACTTGTTTGCCTTTGTTGAAATGTAAGAAACGCCTATCGGCTTTAATCTGTTTACAATTTCTAATCACTGAAGTAAAAAGTGTGGGACCAACACTGAGTTAATCAACAGTATCATAGAAGACCTGCTTCTGTCACACATAATCTGGTTATTCTGTCACAGATAGTCATGATTATTGTTACATGCAGCGCATAAAGCCGTTTCATCTCGCGTTTAGAAAAGCAACGCCCCCTATTGGCCAATTATGTTTTACAGCTTGCTTGCAGGTAACGTTCGTGTCAGAGGACGTGCACAACCGACCCATTAAAGGCCGATGTAAATCAGCCATTGAGGGACGAATAACCCCGAGGGTCAATCAAATTCAAATTATACTGAAAGCCATTGGGGTTATGGGCAGCATTCAGACCCCCCCCCCGTGCTGCCTGCAGTTTACCTGAGGCCAACTTTGAGCGGTCAGGCTCACCTACGTCTTTGAAATCTCGCAAAGAGGTGCTTTTAGCATCCTTAGAAGAAGACAGGCGCTGCAGGTGCTCCGTTGCGTCAGTAAATTTAGCTCTGTGAGACATCAAATGGATCAGCGGATTGCTTGGTTCTTGCAATAGAAGCAGGAATGAAATGCATCTCTGCGGGACGTGGCTGGTGCTGCAGCCAGCTGCTGCGTTTCTGTGCTGTGGCAGACCTAATGCATTGGCCCTGATCAATAGTAAAGTAATAGGGGAGGTTGTGTGCAATGGCAAACTAGCCTACGGCCAAAACAGCCAGTGACTAAAATCTGTATTGCCTCTAATTAGTAATTAGTAGCCAGCCACATAAGATTCTTTAATGCCTCCCAGTGGTTCAATTAAACCTATCTTAATGAAATTAATTAAAACGTGTGGGTGTATGGGACTGGGGAGTGAGGGGCTATTCTTGAATAAAGTTTTAATTTCCTTCACATCATTTATTAGAGCACAGTAAACTAACCCCCTACCCACGGGCTAACGACTCCGTTTATGAGGAGCTGTCAAGCGCATTGATGTATGAGTATATGCGTGAACTCTGCGTTTCCTGATGACCGTGCTGAGAGTGGGATTTTGTGTCTGTGTGTGAGAGTGAGCGTCGTGTCGCCGGCTAGTGAGGAAGGCTCGGACAGCTCTACGAAGCCATCTAGTGGCTGAGCTCCTCCAGCACAGGGAAACGAGCCTGCTTATTCAGAGCCCCCCAAACGGCCACTTATTAAGACAGAATCCAGCCGAGTGGCAGAAGACGAAAGTGTTGTTTTTTTTATTTTTGTTCTGTTCTTTTCTAAAGCCGCAAGTATTTTTACCAAATGAGCTAAATAATTGCCTCGGACAATAAAGTCCTTGTTCGACCTCACAATCAGCTCTTAAATTAACCCCCCAAAAAGTCCTCCCCTGAGTGGCCGTGCCCTCGCACAGACAGGCCACTAAACACATCATTAGCGGAAAAATCAATACCCCGATGAGAGACGCCCTAAACTAAAATCAAACTCTCGTTAGTCGGGAGCTAAGCATGAAACAGGTTTGGCCCATGGCTCTTCAGTTAAAACAAAACCCGGGCTGAACTTAATTGGGGCTTTTAATCCAGGATGTGCCAAATCCCCAGTCTGGTAGATACTCAAAGCCCACAAACTGTCAAAACTTGCAGTTACTGTTACTTCTGTTGTGATACTTTGTGTCTTTGTTTGTCACGTTTGAAATAAAAACCAATTTGGAAGCTTAAAATGTGATTTACATCATATAAGTTAGCATTCTGAGGCAGTTTTGTAGATAATACTACTGTTCACTTGCTTTGTGTTTAAATATTTCCGAATGAATCGCACAGACGACCATTTCCACGACTTGAGCCCACCTCTCCTGTTCCTGCTCGATGGGGTCGGACAGGTTGACCGCTTCTCTGGTGATCTCGACTTTGCGGACGCTGCCAAAGAAATCTGTGATGAGAACGCTGGCGGGATCCCTCAGGAACAGGTCGGTACGGTGGCCTGGAGTGGACACGCACTGGCTCTTGGGACAAACCTTGAACTACGAACACAAAGAGAGCAAAAAACCCTCACGTCAGGACCACATCGATCCCTTCATGGCTGCAAAGCGTGTTCTAAAAAACGGCTAAAGCCACAGTGGGAGGCGATACACTCTGTGAAGGAGCGAGGAGCCACATGCTGCTGCATGGCGCCCGCAAATCGTTGGGTTCTTGGGTGTTTTTAAGCTCGTTGGGTGGAACGTGCTTTCAGATTTGTGTTTTCGTTTAAAAAAACTAAACAGAAAGCAACAGGTGATCAAGCCAAGGTCAATGAACCCCATCACCAAAACAGGTCTTCAAAAAAAACAAAAAAGACACACACACACATACATTCAAGTGCTTTCGAAATGTGAGCGTCAAAGAGGCTTCATCAAAGGCGAGCCATTTCAGGCAGGGTTTTTAAGGGAAATCCATAATATTGATCCTTAATTCCACGGAAAAAAAAGGACCAGAACAAAGAGCGCATCCATCTAGAGAGAAACTGGAACAAAAACCCGGCTCTAGTCGCAGCACTTGAACTGAATACTGACATGAGGTGTTTAGAGTCAAATATGGCGCGGCGGATAATAATGAGCGTCCCTGGGCCCGGTGGCTCTCTGCCGCTGAGGCAAAGATGAAAGGGGGGGGTGCGGCTGAGCCCGGCCGGGGCCCGGAGCACGGCGCGCGCCCGCCGTCTTTCCTGTCATGTGTCAAAGTCAAACAGCCATGGCGCCGCATCAGCCATTCTGTTTCAAGTGTGCGCCGACTCCTTCTGGACCAGAAGTTTCTGACACCTGCTGGAGGAGGTGGACAGATTGTGGCACCGACCCCACATTCTCCAGAGGGGAGGGAGGCTCTGTCACGGCTCGCCAAACGTATTTGTCGTGTTGGATTCCACTGCGTCAGCTAGTAATTATTTTGAATGACAACCGTGTTTTTTTTTTTGTCTGTAAAATGTCAGAAAACAGTGAGACGTTCCCGTCACAAAGACAGAGTCTATCACCACAAATAACGCAGATACAAAACTGGCAGTCCTTTTTTTTTCCCTTAACAAGATGACTAATCTTATTTCTAGAATTTTCCATCAATTATTTATCTGTTTGGCTGATTGACAGTTCTCTCCCTCATCAAATGAAGACATTTATGGTAAGGTTTGATTTCCATTAGACACTCAGTATCTTTGGGTTCAAAAAGGGAGATGTAATTTTAGGGTCTTGAACTGTGAGAAGAATAGATCGTCCTGTTAAATTGACAAATTTGAGAGTGAACAGCCCCACTCGTCCTCACCAGATCGTTCATGTTGGTCTTGCTGGCTGGGTGGATGTCCTCCAGGAACTCCAGCAGGTAGAAGGTGTAACGGTCCATCAGGTGGACTCCTATGGCCAAATCTGGCTGGTGCTAGACCCAGAACAAGTAATAAGAGAACCGAATGAACAACTAACTTACAGCTTGCAGGAGTCAACGTGCACTGGAGTCTTGCATAAATCATGATGTGCTGAAACTCACCGACAGAGAGTCTTCTCCGACTTGACTGCTGGCCAGGGCCATTAGGTTTGGAGAATAAAATCTCTCATACATGGAGGCGCCCTGACAGGTGTCGATGATGAAGAGCAGCTCATTGTACCTGCACAGAGGTTTTCAGATTAAGCCAATGAGAGCGCACACAGCTGCCATTGCACTTTCCCAATAGCTCCAATAAAGCGCCATCACACCGACCCTCCAAACAGTCTATCACACTGCAGTTACCATAGCGACCGAGTAAAACCAACAGCTCCAGTCAGTCCTGCTAACAGCCCCCCCCCCACGCACACAATCCTCCCCTCCCTCCTTCTACCCTTCTGTTCTCCATCTTTAAAGGACACATTTCACAACAGCATCTTTCGTGGTTTGGACTTTTAAATCCGGCTGAGCTGTGATGTTTTACATGAGTAAAATAGATTAAGCAGATGTGACAACAAGGTGAAGCCCTCAAAAATTATGTTAAAACTTAAGACCAAATTAAATCAGCTGAAACGACCCCCGGCATTCTCTACACGATTTTGAGGCCAGGTTCAAGCTCATTATGTTTAATTATTCAATTAAATAACACTGAACCTGACCTGGAAATCAAATCAATTAAAAATGTCCATACCAAAAGGTATAAAATGTAAAGATGTATTAAAAGCATTAGCCAGGCAGGTATTGCTTAAAACAAAAAGGATTTTTCTTAATAAGTAAAAGGCAGCATGACATAAATTATCATGACAACTTCCTGCAGAAGACTCTTGATCATGGGTTACTAACTTTAATGCTGCGACTCAGCAAAAGCAGCCCTCGGGGAAAAGAAAAGTCTAGTAAAGTTAACTCTAGAAAAATGAGCACAAGCTCACTGGCTTTGATCATTTTTGCTGCTTTTCCAAGTCATTCACCTCCTTTTCTGCCACATTTGCTCGAAAGCGTCAGCCAGCTCCACGTTACTGATCTCCTCCGAGTCCTGGAACTTCAGAAAGCCGTTCCCGCCGTGGCCTGTTGATGAAGCACATTTTGTCAGCGGCTCCCGCCTCAGTGTGTCCGTCAGGCTTCAACTGGACCACTGAAACACCTTCAGACTTTCCCAATTGCAGCAAACCTATTTTTCTGTAGGTTTGCTGCCAAGTTTGGTATCATTAACCTGCGGACGACCCATTTCCAGCCACGCTTTTGCCACCGGATAGATGAGAAGCTCCTATATGCCACGCATTCCCTCCACTCTTATGCTTTTCATACATTCTTTCAGAAAATAAAGGACTTGTATAATATGTTAAATTCACCTAATTTTAGGTCCTGTAAGAACAGAATTTAAAGAGGGTGTACTTTAGATTTTCTCAGATTTGTGATTGATTATTTGGTTTCAAAGCAACATCAACAGAGAAGAACAGCTTTGTTCAACTCATTAAACAGGCAGTTTCACCCGAGACGACTTCGGCTGTCTTCATAAACATTAACCCACCCTGATTACATTTCAATATTTGAACATTAAACTTTCGGAAAAGGGCATCTGCCATTATAAACATTGTAACTTTCATGCAGCCAATAAGAACAGCTGCTGCTGAGGCCAAATCAAAAGACACATTCAGGATTTTGACAGAATGTGCTGAAAAACTTTGAACTGTACCCATTAAAGTTTTATATTTTTACTTAATTATGATTAAACTAATTAACAAATGTCAGAAAAAGGGCAAACAGATAAACAGAGTGATTAAGTATTACATGCAAAGGTTAAGGAGGAGTTTTTGGGGATGCCTGTTTCATTTGAGTACCTGTCAGGTAAATGAGGATGTTGCTCCGGTCATCAGAGAGCAGGCGTTTGGATCGGGGGGTGCTGGGGGGGAGTCTTCCTGTTAAAACTCGCAGGAAGTTCTCTACTGTCACCTAAAAGAGGGAGGATACAGATTTCTGATGACCAAAAAATATGTGTATATAAAAACAAGATTAGGCTGATGTAAGGATGTGCTAAACATAGTAGCTCCACAGCAATCTCAGGGAGAGCTGTAGAGTGGAGTTTAGACTTCTTCGACTTGTTACAAAACACTCTCAGCTACAATATTTACGCAGTTATAATGTTGTAATGAAGTAATAACAGCAGAATTGAGCACAGTCAAGGCACACAAGAGTAAATAGGTCCACCCATTGTCCATTTTGTGTGCTAATTCCTTATGTTTCATAATAGATTAGAGTTGATTAACTCTGATTTGGGCTGTGATCATCAGCTTTAGGGATCAGGGCTGTGTGAACTGACCTCATATCCCCGGTAGTCCACCTCGACGTCGTCACCGTACACGTTAAGCTCCATGTTCTTATGGCTAAACACTGTGGCAGGTTTGGGGTTTCTGTGGTTACAGGCCATGTCGTCGGCCAGCATCAGCACAATGTGGCTGGTAAGAAGAAAAAGCAAAGTATTAACCTTCCTTTACTAAACCCATTCTTAAAGTCATGCATAACATATGCATAACCATGTTAAAATCCTGCACAACAAAGGGAAGCTTCAAGTTCTAAAAACTGACATAATCTCTGACGTCAATGTGTGTAAATGAACCTGGCAAAAGAAATATTTAAAATGAATTATGACTGCCTGATTTAAAATGTCTTCTATTGATTTGATTCATTTCAAGTCCATTTGTATGCATGTCAAAGTCACCTTTAAATTGAATTTAGATGGTCATTAATTACCTGTCAGGGATGCCCAGCCTCTTAACGCTTCTGTACACAGACAGAGTATTGGCCACATGTCTGTAGTTGAACCAGAATCGAGAAGTGCACACCTGGATGAAGGAGGATGTGGATTAAGACGTCAGATCATTCATACAGGAATCCAGAGACCAAATAGGTGGGCTAGAGGGACCAAACACTCACCAGGACAGCCCAGTTGTTTGTGTGACCGCTGCTAAAGAACTGCCCCGCGTTTTCCTGACCAACAGGAGATAGACAACACGTGTGTCGATATTTCACATCACTTTTAATGATAAAAGCTATCAGACTGTGCATCCAAACAGTTAGCATGACAGCACAAAGCTAACACAAAGCATCGTTTCTGGGAAAACACGTACAAAAAACAACTTCATTCGTATAAAAAAGCAACAGCATGGATAAGAAAGCGCTCACCTCAATGTTAACGCAGTGAGTTTTCAATAGTGTAGTAAATAAAACGAGCAAAGGGAGCAGTTTCATTGTGCAGCACTGTCACCACCGAAACACGGAAGTGAAATTCACTGGCTCCGCACAGCGACAACTTCCGGCTTGTGGCTTTTCAACATAAAAGCTCCACCACAGTCCATCTGTCCATTCGTCCATCCCAACATTACCTATGACTTTAATTCCGAGTAGGATTGCGGGGAAGCTGGAGACTATCCGTCTGTCATTTTACCTGTGCCCTGCACAGGTCACCATCATCCAAACAAATGCAACTGTAGCTATATGTATTAGCTACAATTAGCACTTCATCAACATTTTGGGCTTATTGTAGCCCTGGGGCCTTTTGCTGATAAAATGAAAGGATAATAGATTAAACAAGTGTAATACATTATACATGTACATATATACGTGTGAATCAGTGGTATCATTCACAATTATATTTGTGTATTTCAAGCTGGTGTTCATGAAGTGAGACAGGCAAAAAGAAACCCTTACATTGACTCATTTTACAAGAGTAAACTCTGTGTTTCCTGTCATAAATCAACATAATAATTCATCCAGCATACATTTCAGGATTTTTTTTATTCTATTGATACATTGCTTGATAAAGAATGGTTGTTACACAGATCTCAAATTGCCTTCGATGGGCATGTTGAACTACAGAAGATTTGAGAAACTTAAGTATTATTAGATTTAAATTTGGTGGGTCGGACAATTTTTTATGAGTCCGAGAGCTGCTTTATGTTTTGATCAGGTACAACAGGCTTATCATTGCATGGTATACAAAGACATTCAAAAGCAGGGTTAAAATCTATGATGGCAAAAAAAAAAACAGTTATTTACAGTCTTGTGAAATTATTTCTTTCAAGTTAATTGATTCAAACCATAAAATGTTTTAATTATTTGTCTGTGTCTTTCAAGATTTATATAGCAATGATTCCTAATTTTCTTTTTTTCAACAATCCAAAGGAGTCAGTCAGTCAGTTTTGGAACATACGAAGAACAAAACATATGTAGAGAACATCTCTTTGTCCTTTTGAGTTTTATTGAATTCATTTTTTTATTTAATTTGTTATAGGTATAGAGGGTCTGTTGTTACCTGACAATTTACATTCAGTTTTCGTATTTGAGTGACTATTTCACAGTTGGCTGCAAATTGAATTCAGCTACTCACTGTGTAGCCTGACATGGCATGTACCCTAATGAGAGGTGACAAATGTAGATTTGATGTCAAATGACGCAGACAGCTTTATGTTCAGGTGCCCTCTCCAGGAATGTGTCTTTGTAACGAGAAGTGACGTGGATAGAGATCAAATAGAGATTAATATAGATCGAAATGCACAAGTATCTGACAGCCCAGTCGAGAGGTGAAGGGGAAGAGAAAAAGTCCTTCATTAAAATTCTAATGTGACATAGCAGCACAGCAAGCAGAGGGTCAGCTGTGAGAGCAGCCTCAAATCAGTTTGGACAGCTAATAAGGGGGGGTTCTGGTGGACAGGTTGCTTTAATCCCTGTTCCCTACTTCTGCTGCTTTTTAGCTGCAGAAGCCTGCTTAAAGGCACTGAGAACATCTTTACAACTGATTATGAAAAACCAAAGATCTCCCAAAAAGCAGTGTTCCTGCACTCTAAAAAAGAACGTGTTGGCTCAACTTAAACAATTGATGGAACAATTTGCAGAGAGTTTTTAAAGTTATTTCAACTTAATCATAATTGAGTCAGTTCCACAAAGTTTATCTGGTTAGACAAACTTATTTACTTTAGCTCAGGCAACATGATTTTCTTTGTCCTTTACAAGCTCAATTAAGTTGAACCAACTTAATTTTCTTTGTGTAAAATTGACTCCTTTTAGTTATGGAACCAATTTGTTTTCCTTTGATTCTACTCAAAAATGTCTATGCAAATTGTTTCCTTATTTTTTGGAGTAATATCAACTTATTTATCTAAGTTAGAATAAATTACACAATTAAATTCCAGTTTTATGAACAGTTTATTCAAGGCTGCATATTGACATTTTAATAGCACAAAACTGTAGCCCCCATAAAAGAAATACTATAAAACAGCCCAGTAATACTCCCAGAGATAACTAACATTTTGACAGTAATGCTGATCAAACTGTAATCTATTATTTGCATCACTGAAAGTGCATAATTTGTAACAGCACTGTATGAATATAATAATTTGTGCTGTTTTCAATGGCTGAGTCATGGATACATAGATCATCAAGTCCACTGTGCCATTTTCCAGAGGGTTTTTGAACATCTAATCCTCTGGGACCTACAAACAGAGCCTATTCTTGTTCCTGCTGTGTGCACATGACTAACACATTTTTAAAGATCCACTACAACGTTTATAGAAATAACTCTGAACTCATTTCACAAAAATAAGTTTCAGGGTTTACCGCTCACGCCACGTGGAGGCGTTGCGCGCGTTTTTTGGCACTCAAAGCGCGCAGCCTCTGCCCACTCAAGACAGACAGACGCGCACACACACACGCGCGCTCGCGGTGCGCACTGGACGCAAAGCACCGTAGGAGGGAAGACGGACCAGACACGCATCCACAGCACTGAGGAGGAGGGTGGCGCGCTGGAAAAGCCTACAGGAATCCAGCTGTAAAGTCTGCACAGGAGGGGGAAAATGCGCTGAGAGGAGGTCTGACAGGAGCTCGGTTATTAACCAAAGATTATCTTACAGCACTGAGATATCTGAGGGGAAAGAGAGGAGAAAAAAACCCAACCTCGGACAAGTTGTGATTCTAAAGGAAATCCTGCGGGAGATGAATACCAACGATGCCAAGGAGTATCTCTCACGGCGGGAGATACCTCAGCTGTTTGAGGTGAGAGATGATCCACGCTATTGGGCATGAAAAGTGCACGCTGATTTAACAGTACGTTCATGTTTTACTCCACCAAACCAACATGCAGGAGACAGTCAGCATGGAGATCTTCTCTTTTGTGTTATGTGCCATGCAATGGGTTGAAGATTTTATATACCAGGTTCCTAGAAAGCTTATCTCTTGATAAAGTAATGGTTTGAGCAACATCTGGTTCTTTATTAGCTTTTTGTAACATCTGACCATGATCAAACCAAACAGAACTTCCTCCTAATCTTTGAAGTGACTTTTTTTCAAATAAAACATCAAAAGTTGATACACTTATCTCAGCCATTAAAACAACCTTAAGACAGCTTCATGGTGATATTTTTCACAGCAGACAGACATGAAAACGCTATCAAGTCAGTAAGTGACTGAAATAACCCAAAATGTCACAAATGAGTCATCACCTTCATTCTAAAAGACACTGACAGTCACATCGCACAACTCACCGGAATGATGGAAAACAATATTCCCTCTCTTCAGAGGATTATCAATTAGCTTCTCCACTTAATTACACTCAATCCCCCGTGTAGTGCAGTTAATGTATGCAAGCAATTCCAGCTGTTTATCGGCTGTCAGTCTAAATTGCGTTGAGTAGTGAGGTGGTGCATCATCATCATTTTAACTGTGATTTTATTCTGCTGCTCGCAGTTATTTCCCAGTGCCAGTCTAATGATTATGCCTCCTGTTAAAGTGTCTTTCAGGTAATGTTCAGGATACTTTTTGTATCTTTTTGTGCTGCTTTAAACATAATTATGGTGTTTTGAGATGTAGGAGAAAGTCCCAGAGGAAGGTGTTGTTCTGAAACGACTGGAAACGAGGGAGCAAATGATAGGCGAGCTCAGTTGTGTTTGAGACTGGAGTTGGTTCTCACATTAATCACAGTGACAGGTTTCCCTCCACGGCACTAACAACCGCGGGGTCTTCAAGGTCCTGTTGATTTGCCAGCTCTGAGTCCAATTTCATGGGTGTCTGATGTTTTGTTCCTCTGATGGAGCCAAGGCAGCCAGCTCCGCGCTTCCAAACTTCCCCTCATTAAGGCGGGCATCTCGGCTCCGCGGCACTGTCACCGAACACATCATAACAGAGATGAAACGCCCCCCCCCCCCCTCAGCCTCACACCTCATCAAGCGCTCTTCCTCTCTTCCCTCCAGAGCCTGCTGACAGGCCTGATGTACTATCGACCCGACGACCCCATCGAATACTTGGAGGGCTGCCTGAAGAAAGTCAGGGAGCTGGGAGGGCTGGACAAGGTGCGGTGGGACACTTTCGTGGGCCAGGAGAAGAAGTCCCTCCCTCCTCTGAATGGAGGCCAGTCACGCAGGTCACTCTTCAGAAACGGTGAGGGACCATCAGTGGACCATCATTTGTCATCTAATAGATTTGTTGATTTAATGTTTTGAAGTCCTAACTGAGCCTATTCGTCAATTTTTTCTTGTGGATTTTTAATGATTGAATACAAGCTGAGTCCTGGGAAATGTTAACCAGTTTGATGTGTTTTTCTTGGAGAGATTTGCGGCAGTGCACGTCACATTCCTCTTGTGCACAGTCGCATTCAGACTGGCTTAGTGTTTGAACAGGAAAGGGTGTTGATATTTGTTCTGGACCTTCAGGAACCCAATTGTCTGAGCCTTTGTTAAAGCTGGCACTTCTCCCGAAAATACAGACAGGAGAAGACGTTTAACTCACAATGAAATAAAGACGCTTCTTCTTTTCCTGTACAATACTCTGATCCAAAGCTGTGTGCATCACTCCCTACATTAAAACAAACAAAAAGAGGCTCATAAAAGCCCCCCCCCCCAAAAAAAAAAGTTAAACAGCCGAGCAGATTTAGATAGAGCCTTTAGTTTCCTGTTTAGACAAAGTGATATAGATAGATATGGCTGACTACCTTCAGATAAATTAGCGTGCGGTTGATTATTTGGAATAAGAGAAAACTCACCACTCCTCAGTAAGCATTTGCTAAACAGTCTGCTTCGGCACAAGGCCGTTCTCATGAATTTAACTCATTGAACTTGAACTTGAAACAATCCCGTCCCTGTTTGTGATGCATTCCAGGCGCCTTGATGGAAATAGCTTCTGCCTGTGCGGATAAAATGGATGGAAATGGGTAGAAATGTATTGACATTCACATAATTTATTCCACCAAACAGCATGCAAGTGTAGAAACACCTCAAATGAAAGAAAAGCAGCCAAAGCCAAAGGTGGATGCTAAAAGAGGAATTTTCTGCTCTTAGAATTATAAACGTGTCTCCTCATTTGTGTTGTGTTGTCAGCTGCGGTCTTGAGCCGCTGGGAACTGAAGGCTGAGGAGGAATATTGATCAATGCACGCTGTATGATCCCAACGAGGGACCGTTTGGCTCCTCTGGCCTAAAAGAGTTCCTCCTGAGTCTAAATGTCTGCCAAATGCTAAAGAAAACCCAATTAAATTAAAGATAAAGACAAGAGGAGCACATTTTGGGGTAAAATCATGCCTCTTCTCAAAAGCTTGGCTTCCCTCTTGCTGCTACCATCCTGTGTAAAGAGATTACATCTGCTTAACATGTAAATTATAGCAGCTCTCCCTTCCACTCGAGTTGCTTGCAGCGATGATTCCTATCTCTAGTAGCTGTTAATGTCGTTAAAGCTATATAATCTGCGCTTTCATCACGAGAGACAGCAGGATAATTACCAAACTAAATGAGGCAGTGCTGTTTGAATTAATCACCGACTTCACGTCTAATTTAGCTTCGGATTGTTTAAACACACAGCACGTCTGCCCTCAGAAACAATACCTGAACAAATGTCTGGCACTTTGCCATTTGTTGTCGGTCTTTCCACAGTTGACGGAGGCCTTTTTGTCTGTGTTTTTCTGCGACAGTGATGCCCGACAGCCCCAACTTTCCCTACAGACGATACGACCGCCTCCCGCCCATCAGCCAGTTCTCCATCGAGAGCGACTCCGACCTGTCGGAGACGGCCGAGCTGATAGAGGAGTACGAGGTGTTCGATCCGTCCAGACCGCGGCCAAAAGTCATCCTCGTCATCGGTAAAGGACCGGTCCAAAAGACTAAAGCACAAACACCTACACTTTACATGAGTCCGCACTTTCACAAAGCAAGAAAGAGGAAACTGATTCAAAACGAGTCGTTTTAGTCATTGCTCCCCCATCCGATGCTTCTGAATTGACAGGCTCCCCTGGATTCCTGCTGATTGTGTTTTTCATTTGTGTAAAAACAGCAGTGAAGATCCTGTTTGTGTGAGCAGGCAAAGCAACAAACACTCTAACAGTTTTCTCTGATCTGAGCCCTATCGAAAGGGGCTTTATGTTCACTGTTTTTGTGATCTAAAAATAATGAAGGAGTGTGAGTCTCTGAGCGTGTGCGTGTGTGTTTTCGTGCATAATTCCTAGTAAGTTAAACAGTGATGTGACCTCTCTCTCTCTGTATCAGCGGGGCAGATCTGACTGCGTGACGTTCAGTGTGTTAGACACTCACGCTCTCCTAATCTGAGTTCTTTGACGTGCCTGCATTAACCTGTCAAAGTCATTATTCTTATAAATGAATAGTGGCAGCTGCACTGGTTCCCTCTCAGCTCCGCTCGGCTCGGCTGGAGTCGGTGCTTTTGCGTTTCCACCAGGGGCCGGTTCCCTCTAGCAGTCACACTTTTAGAACAAACTCGCACGGGTTTTCAAACGGGCCCAGTCGGATGCTGATTGGCCAAGGAGCCTCACATGACTCAGTAAAACTGTTTGTTAGAGCCCAAGAAACAGACTTCATCATCTGCTGGAAGCCTTTTAAAGGCAGCGTTGCGTTTTTCTTTTGGAGGGTTTTCATATTGTCTGAAGTGGATGATGATGGTTTGCCAGCTCCTGTCTCTTCTTTGTGATCCCAGTGTGCACTATTTAGAGCAAAAAGCAGGATGGCAATCACTGTCATCTCCGTGGAGGATCAGGGTGAATGTTTTGTCTGTCAGGTTTGCTGTCAGACCCACAAAATCCTGTCATCAGGAGGATGTTTGGCAGACGACTCGGTTAAGAACTACAAAGTGCTTCTCTGCTTCTCTCTACAGCAACGCCTCCCAAAACAACACATCTCGAATGTTTAATTGAATCTGTAGGTTATAGTTAAAGTGACAGTTTAGATTTTTTTTTATGAGGAAGCTGGATTCTAGTTAAATTCACAGGTTTGAGCCCCCAGCTCATGAGTGCTTTTGTGCATAATGTCATACTGGCAGCAATAGGCCAACTTTCAAATAGCGCTGTTTCAAAAAGATATCTTAGAAAATACTGCTATGGCATCAGAAGATGGAAAGCTGACATATTGTCTTCATTGGAAGAAGAAGAGCAAAGAATGATCGCGTTTTTCCTAACTACCTGACTTAGACTAGATTCTTCAAGGAGCTATAAGTAGTTGAGTTTCACTTCTAATAGGACATTTAAACTAACTAATTCGGAACACTTTTAACAAAAGGATTTTGTCACTTAGACAAACAACCCCCCCATATGGGGAAGTGTTTATAGCTGACTAAAGACTGAGCCTGTATTTGCTGTAAATTGGATATATTTTCCGAAATATGTGAAAATAGGTTGGCACATCTGGGTTCTGAGGACTAAATTTTCCATATTTATGGGAGCAACATAGCGAGATAGCACTTGTGTGGACAGACCAGAAAGCTCTCACTCTGTCGGTATGTTTAGATGCATATCTTAGTCAAGCTGCACTAAAAAAAAAAATGGACCCGGCCCTTTACCTGGACCCCCGCGTTTGTTACAATATATCAAGCTTTTGACTGAAGTGCGCTAAAAGCCGATGCACAGCTTTCAGCTTGTTACTATTCGCTCACTTCTGGTTGACCCGAACAGATTAGCCGGAGGCAAATCAATACGGGGCCTCTTTAGGTTTTGCCTGTAGATTTTATCAGAGCTGGACGTTTTACTGCCGTTACAAAAATGTTCACTTTATTCCATGTGGCAGCTCATTGTTACAAGTTTCTTCTTCTTCTTCTGTGTACCAGCAGAGCATGCAGTTTGAGTCCATTATATATACACTCAGGCCCCTGAATGAGAGCAATATTTGGGTGGAATTTCAGTCAGATCAAAATCTCTATATCTTTCTTAAAATTGAGTCATTTTTCTTCTGTCATGAGAACATGCTGACAGCTCAATTCCACAAGCTAAGCAGCCATGAACTGAACAGGCTGCGATTAAAGCGGGAGGTCTTTAGCTGTGTGAAGAAGGGATAAAGACAGGTTTATTTTCAGAGTTAGTGTTTTCTCAGACCGAAAAGCCTTTTGAGTTTAATTCCAAACCCAAACACTGAATAACTGCTGGACACTCTTGAATCTCATTCCAACATTCAACGGGGATAACTAACTGAAATCCAAACCCAGAATATTTTGTAAGGATTTTCTGCTCTTGGTTGGAAACACTTTTACATTGCTTCAAAAAGCAAACACAAAAAAGAAAAATTCTTCCTGACGCTGAAGTGACGCAGCTTGTTTTGTTACTGATTACTGTTCAGTTGGGCCTGACTTTAACCAGGACACGTCTTTGGAGAACTGATATTTCTATGGTAACTGTAGAAATCTTTAGTCCTGGAATGAAACGCCATTATCAAACACCAGAGCAGCTTTTAAGTTGTCACAAGGCTTTGAGAGGGACTTCAACATCATTTTACAATTATTTTTTTAAACAAACATGTTCAAAAATACATCTGTTTTGCCATTGATTGTATTCCAGATGGAAAGCATAGGCTCAAAACATCAACTTTGCATGGCTTTGACATTTGGGCATTTTCCTGCCGACGTAAACTTCCACTGACACGCAAACGTAGGAGGCTGACGTATACCCGTTTCCACACACCCTCCACCCCCTCCGACACCCCTTTTCCTTATGTGCAAACACAAACAGATTTGTGCACAGACGCACACACGGCCTTGCACATTTATTTCTCACCCGTACACACGCACACACACACACGCGCCTACGCTCGCACGCCCACGCGCACAATGTTTCACACTCTCGCGACACAACCTCCCCCCCCCCCCCCCCTTCCCCAAAAACATCAACAGCTCTCCCTCTGTGCTCAGGTGGCCCTGGCAGCGGCAAAGGGACGCAGAGCCTGAAGATCGCCGAGCGCTACGGCTTCCAGTACATGTCTGTGGGCGAGCTGCTGAGGAAGAAGATGATCCACAACGCCACCAGCAACAGGAAGTGGAGCCTGATCGCCAAAATCATCACCAACGGCGAGCTGGCACCACAGGTAGTGGAGAAACAGGAGAGGAGAGATCAAGCCTTGGCGTGTCCGGCCACTGGCGGGCTGTTATCGCAGCACGCGTGTTATGAGAGTCTAATTGGCAGCAGGCGTTATCACAAACGTGTTGAGGGAAGGATTAATCCATCCATGTTATTGGTATTCATCCAACTCTGTTGGGGAAGAGAGGCCCCTCCAAAGCTGTGCGGGCCCCATTCTTTCAAACACGCCAAAGAATGGGAAATGAAATCCTGACTCTTCCCAATTACAAAATTCCTATTAGAGACAAAACCGTCATTATAACCAGTTGTTTCTTTTATTAAAGCACGACTCTGCGGCTTTTATCAGCTCGTGCAGAGCATTTGAAAATAACAAGGCCCATTTCTGTAATGAGTAAAACAGGTTTAGGTTTTGTTGTGAACTATAAACCGTCGCAACAAAACAAATCATGCTGCGGCCGAGCTTTCGGAGTGGAGTCAGCATCAATGGTGGTTAGAATAGCAGCTATTATTTTGTATTTAATGTGCAGTTTAGAAAAGTTTGCTGTGAATAAGATAGTAATCATAATCATAATAAATAATGAAGAGTAGGAAGAGAAAGTTATTCAAATCTCGTCTTCTTTGTCGTATTTTGAGTTTCATGTTGCATCAAATGTTTTTTTTGTTGGTTAAAGGGAAAACCAGGCCACACATCTGGACTCTCCCACCATGAAGCCATGCTGTTGTAGTAGATGTAGAACTCTGGTTTAATATGCTCTTGCCAGAAGGTGGAAGGTCCTTCCTGAAAAGGAAGTTGTCTGAATGGGAGGATGTGTTTCTCTAGTACCTTCATGTACCTTCCAGTATTAATGACGGCTTTCCAACTTTTAAAGGTCAGCTGCACAGTCATTACAGCACGCATATACCATCAGAGACGCAGACCTTTGAACTGAGCTCTGATAAAAAGCCCCGCAAGGCTTTTTTCTCTGTAGTTTGGGCGACACAGTGCTTTTAATTTCTTAAAAGAATTCCAAATCTAGATTTGGATTATCACTGCACAATTATTTTTTACTTTTCCTCTGTTTAAATGGCTTTGATCCAGAAAAAAAACAGAAAAAAGGCTTCTTCTTTGCATGAGGGAGCTTTAACCTGCTTTGGTGGATGACTCAAGATGGAGAATACACAGGCTTGTTGTGTTAAATGGACTGGAGCTCAGCTTTATCAAAGCGAGCCCTCTATCAAACATAAATGCAATAACTTCATGCATAGCTTTAATTATTGATTCACTATTCATTTTAAGACAAATAAACATGTTGATCAGTACGTGGGTGCATCCTGAATTAAAAGCAGCGCTGGATGCAGCAATAGTAAGTCGGCACTTTTGCCATGTTTACACAGTACAAAGTGTACAGTTTGAAAAGATCTAAAGGATTCGGACTCGCAGTTACTTTAGTTTTGCCTTTATCCTGTCGCTCTGCCAGTGTGTTCACACGTAAAGTCAGTTCAGCAGTCGCACTGTTTTGTATTTCACCGTTGGAGTCAATTGAGACAAACTACCCGTTTTTCAGCATCTGTTCAGATGTCTGCGCTTGTCACTTCAGAGGACCATGTAAACCCTAAACCCTCTGTTTCCAGTCAGCTTTAAAAAAAAAAAAGAAGAAAAAAGAGAAACTGAACATACTAGAAGAAGAGATGATCCGGTTTGGAAATGGCAGGATTCACACACCAGTGTGTGAATCACACACCAGCAAAGGGATACAGGCTCATTGTCAGAGACATTAATGTTCACAGCATACCTTGTGATTTAATGGACTGTGTCAATGTACTAAAACGTGTAAAACCTAATCAGTGATCTATCCCCTTTTACGTAGATTCTGTCTACATAAAAACACACAAATACACCAGTGTTACTTTTTCTTACAGAGTGAAGGATCTATGAATAATGTCAGCTGTTGGGAGTTAATCTTCCATGTATGACGACCAAGAGCTGCCTGTAGGACTCTGGTTGTCTGCATATATTTTCAATAACATCCCGAAAGCACCTGAGAGGACGGTCTTTACTGTCAACACCGGCACGGTGATGCATCTGTGATGCTGCAAGGCCGGAACACACGGGCACGAGCCCCCACCTGCGTCATGAGGAGCTCCTTTTAGCTCGCGTCTGCTCATGAATTACCTTCAGCCTCTGCCTCGCTCGCCATTTTTCATCTTTGGCGCTCACGTCGAGGACGTGGCTTGTCCTTTGTTGCGGTCGGGCCCAGATGTCGGTCCAGAAAGCAGTGAGACAAACAGAAAAGTAGGTCAAGCAGCAAACATATCAGATCGGACAAAGTGCCATGTGATCCCTTGTTAGGCCCCTCATTTCCTATCAGATGTTTGGAAAATTAGTTGGGGATTTGGTTTTTAAATGATTCTTCATGGTGATATTGGAACGAGCTCCAAACAGCAGAACGGATGGCACAGGTGTTTTGGGGAAAATTGTTGGGTTTGTTAGGATATGTTAATGATTCACAGCTGGCGCTCAGACCTGTAACGACTGCAAAGAACTTTGTTGATTTGTATGAAAACAGATCTGCGAAGTTGTGCTGTAAATGTGGAAATACATTTGTTTTCATGCCAATTAACAGGTAGATGCTAGTGTGAAGTTACAGGCATGTTCTCTCTATCTTTTCTCTCTCTCTGAGGGCTGGAAATATTTCCTCTTGATTCTTTTTGGAGACAGGAGTAATAAGCTGTGCTCATTTTCTGCAAATGATCTGGTAATGCTGAACACACACGTGAAGCACCACTTCACACTCGGCCAAAGACCAAATGCTGTTTGTCTCACTGCCGGGTCATGTGACTCAGCGTGTCTCTGAACCTATGTTCCCTCAGAAATCCCCCAGGTCCTCTCGACAGAGGCTCTTGAATGGTTGACAGCCCGCTCTAAAATTAAAGACTAAAAGCACTTTTGGTTTGATATTCTTAGACTGTGAATAATCTCCATCTTAAGAGGACCCCAGCAGAACCCGGAGCCACTTCAGACTCTGAGCTGAGTTACCCTGTCAAGTGGCTTTAGCCATTTAGAGTTTTGATCATTTTTAAGGAAGAACTACATAACATAGGATTATGTACTTCCTATAATATTATAGCACACTTAAAACCACAACGTGTCCAGGAGATTTTATGACTTAATGAATTAATTTAGGACTGTATTGCTTGATATTGAACTCCATACTACGCAGACTCACTTCTTCATTATGGTAATAGGGCCTACCCACTCTTAAACATACATCTATGGTAAACACTGTTGAAATCTAGGATGTATAATGAGATCACAAGCAGAAAACAGAGGTTGAGGGTCCAAATGTCAAATGTATCCATCCAGTAGCCATACTGCTTATTCCGAGAAGGGTCAAAGGGGGGCTGGAGGCTATTCCAGGGCCACACAAAGACATACAACCACTCATTTGAGTCTTGTAAATGAGACATGCATGTTTTTGGAGGGTGAGAGGAAGTATCTGAAGATAACCCACGCAAACACAGGGAGAACCTGCAAACTCCCGACATAAATGTGTAGAAGGGGATTCAAAGGCTGTTATGAGGCCACTCCGAAATCTGCAAATGATGGCCCAAATGCCAAATCATTATAAGGAAATGCAGCACCTGGAGATGTTGAAAGCTTTTATCAAAAGCTGTACGGCAGTCTGGCAAGACAAAAATCAAAAACAGGAAAATGTCCACAGAAAATGAATGGCAGGTGTGAGATGAAAACATTAAGAAATGTGTCACATGTGAGGGGGGAAAAGGCTCTGCTGAATAAATCAGCAAACAAGATGACTGGAGAACGACAGAAAATCAAGCAGAACACAAAGCCGAAGGAGAAAAAAGACAGACCCTTTCATTATCGGACATTCCTGGCTTCTCTTCCCCTGATAATCCTGTTCAAATGTTAGAATTCGATGACCCCTCACTCACATTCGTGGTTAATGCAACTGCCTCATCAGAGAGCGTAGGCTGGTTTAACTTGTCCCCCTTCACCTGCCGCCGGCTCTCCCTGAGTTTTAAACCCATTTACTGTGATTCAGTGTGGACCATAGTTGCATCAGAAACAGACGACAGAATAATGTCAGATTGTAAAATTTGTGTTCTGTTCCTCTAAATTCCCATTTATACATTTAGGCAAAGGATTTTTTTCATTTGCTTTTGTGTTATTAGATTCAAACATGTGTTAATTAAAGATTTCACATCTCTGATTTAATCATAAATCCAAAGAATGTATGCTTTTCGTTAAGAAATTTCCAAAAGAAATGACCAAATACACGTTGTTGTGGCTGTATGATTAAACCAAAGCAGAGACTTTATAGATGGTTGACATCGGCACCACTGGGACAATAATCATGTGCTGTAGTTTAAAAGTGCATCATCTTCATCCAACTCAAAGAGACCATAAATCCATGAGTTTGAAAAGGGTTCCCGCAGGCTTAATTTCCTCAGAGTACTCTGGGAGACGTTTTGAGGGAGTTTAAATGAGTCTGTAGTGACTCTAATCTGAAGTGAGAATGAATCATGTCCACGTAACACTGGGTTGGAGTTTAACTGAATGCATGTCATCATGCAACACCACACCTGTTCAGAATGAAGCCAAACAAACGTCAATCAGATGAGCGAGCCAATGGGAGGAATTGTGCACCGTGAACGCGAGGAAATTCTCCCGATTGGCCCGATCTGCCGTGCTGCCGTGGGCAAACTGGCTCAGCAAGAATCACATCTGATTGTTGGCTGCTGGGGATTCCTGCGAGAGCTCCAAAACTTGATGAACCAAACGGATTAGGAGGCTATTCTTAGATTAGCTGCCTCTGATCTTTTACACATTAATCTGTTTAATGGAAATGAGATTTGATTCAATCTGGGCATAGTCTGCAAGGCCAACGCTCCCGTTCTGTTGGGCAGGTTCTGCGTGGCTCGTTTTATTTTTAGACCGCGGCGTTGCTCGTTGATCTCATCCGTATTGCGAGATACGTTCTGCCCAGAGAAATGCATTCAAACACGCAGAACTCCTCCAGCCATGAGGAAGTAAATGATGCTGAGATGTGTTGGCACTCTCTGGCTCCAAGAGCCCCTTACTCAGCTCTGCTCATAAATAACCTGATTAATTATAATGCAGAATTGTTTGGCGTGCTGCGATACCTATTTTTCCAGTCACAGGGTTATGCGTACAGTTAGTTTTCTGTATTGCCTAGTCTCTCTCCTCATGCAGAAGACTCCTGCATCTCCTAAACTCTTATTTGTATTGATCGGTAATCCATGAGCGTCCTCCAGGTACTGCAGTTGTTTGTTTGGGCAGACTACAAGTCCTGGTTATTGCTTCTTTGACATTTATAACTCAGGCTCCAAGGGACGGTGATAAAGCAGCATGTTGTTTTTCTCTTCTCTTTTCCAGGAGACCACAATAACCGAGATAAAACAAAAGATTATGAAGATCCCAGATGCCAACGGTATCGTCATCGACGGGTTCCCCCGGGACGTCGGACAGGCGTTGTCCTTCGAGGACCAGGTACGTTTTTGTTATCTTGCTTATTTCTGCTTTAAGGACACTCTTATCCAGGGGTCAGTGGCTCATCTCCAGGTTTTTATCCTCAAGTACTCAATGACATGTGTCCACACGCGTGTAAATCTCACTGAGCTCTTAACCTATTTCACCAAAACAAACTAATTCTAGTCCCAGTGTCACATATCACCTTTTTAAAAGGCTTTTGTTATATTTGACATGGACAGTAAATCCTTTTAAAGCCTTACACAGCCCCCTTTAGGGGCCAAAGAGGTGGAAGGATTCGGGATTCAAGCTTTGACTCTGGTTCAGATTTAATATGGATGGTTTTTGGTTTTCCAGTTGATTCTTTCCTGTTTTTTACAAGTGGGGTTTCACCCTTTTCTGTTTTTAATCTTCTGGTTTTTCCTCAGCTCTTGTCAAATAATGGATCCTCTCACCCCCGTGGCACAATGTAACAGCGTTTTTAAATGACCACGCTTTAGGCTCCCAGATCAATGAGGAAATTACAAATCAGTAATACTCTGATCCAGGACAAACGTTTCTTGCCCTTCATGATTTCCTGATGTTTATCTGATAGCTGTCATTATTTCATTCAATCACGCCTTCCTTAGTCTTCATTTACACAACATAGGCAGTGAAAACCCCTGAAGCTCGCCTGAAACGTTTTAATGTCTGTGGCAGACTAACAGCAACCCTCTGGACCGGCTTGTAGTCAAAGACTGGGATTATGTTGGTGAAATTTAGGCTTGTACACAAAATCCAAAACGCAAATAACCATGGTTTTAGTGTCAGAAGAGAAGGGCCGATGTTTAGTCTCTATGTGGGAGCAACTTTTTTTGTTGTTTTTAATTAGTTTTAGCCTTTATTCAGCATGATTACCTGTTACAGGTCACTGTGTGTGTTTTGTGACGAACATACAGCAAAAGTTGTAATCGGAGCGTCAAACACGAAGAGAGGCATCGCAGCAGTCGAGTGCTGCAGGCCGAATAAAACATGTAAACGAGTGGATCGCTCTCCAGCTGCCAGAGTGATTTTCTGTCCCTTTTTTCCCCCCGTAGCGTCAGATCTGACCAAGGCCTCGTCAGCTGCTCTGAGGCTTCACTTTTTCCCCCCAACGTTAGATGTGTTTGATACCAGCAGCTGTCACATCCTTTTTTTTTAACCAGTATGATTATACCAGTTACGAAAAATGATATTTTCTCATATTTTTAGCAAGAATCATTTGCACTTGACATTAAGTTTAGTCTATTATTAAATTGGTTTTGCTTAATTCGCAGGGGTGTCTCCTTGTAGTGGTTCTGACCTTTACTTTGCAGCAAATTAATGTTTCTATTCTCTCCCTAATGGATGATGGACCTACAGTGAATTACAGCCATAAAAAACTATTATATAGCACTAATCTGATCAGAAAAGGCTGCCGTTTCTCAGCCTTACTTTTACATAGTTTTTTCTCAGGTCTCACCTGTTTTTTTGGCTCCTAAAACTATTAGAGAACGGCACGACTTGAAGTGTGTAGAGAATATGTTTAGCACTCTTTCTTTCTATTTTTTTCCAAACGCAAAGCACTGATTATGTAACTCATGAAATTTAAGCCATCTGCTCCTTTACAACACTACCCATTCGTGAGGACACAACCTTCTGTTTTGTTCGTAATCTTCTGGAATATATAAGCCGTTAACATAATCGGCTACATTCATCGTTGTGTGGTCACTTTTGTAATCCACATTTTTGGGATGGCCGCAAGGGTTGTTCATCCATAGGTTTAGTTTATGTGCGAAAACCAAATAAGGAGCATTGCTGAATCCCCCAGCAGCAGGGAGTGTTTAGAGGAGTGAGTCGTGCTTCGTAAAAGCGAAACGCACATTTAATTAATTCAAAATCATCTGAGATCTGAAAACTGAGACCTGCTAGTTTGTTTTTTGAGAAATATTTTACACTTTCATATTGAGTGGCTGAACTTTTCAAAAAACATGTTTTCCCATTAAGAAGTTTGTAAATATTTGCACAAAAATCTGAAAATACTGTATATACAGGTACAATTTAGTGTGAACTCAACATCTGGATGGATGTTTGACTTCTGGTCCTGTGGGATTTATTCATATCATCGATGGGGTTGAATTCATACCAGTCCCACTTATTATGCTTTTGTGAGGCACGAATAAGCTGCTGCTTAAAATCCGCTCTTTCCCTTTTCCCTGTTCCCTGAGATGAACAGGTGGCTCTGGACTGAGTAATGATGCTTTTAAACTATCAGAGTTATTCATAATCTTTTACAATCAAGTATTTACCCATTGTCCTTGAGCAAGGCTTACAAATAGCTGTCAGCTTTTGAATGATTTCCTCTTGAATGTTAATATTAGCTGCCGGGAGAAGCTTCATTTTAAGTGGAAATGCTTATAAAAAGCCAATGCAAAGAAGATTAATGATCCACCATTAGAGCAAATGCTTTTTAAGGCAGCCTGGATGATTTGGTAGAGTGTAATGTCATGGTTTAGAGAGATACGTCAAAGTTGGCCCTCTAATGGAAAATCAAGCTTTACAATTAATGAGTTAACTACGTGAGTCAAAGAGGTCGATTGCTTTTAGTGGGAGTGATGCTCTTTAGCACATTCAGGCTCACTTAATGTTGATCAACTTAAAAAAGAACCTGAACAACTTGTCAGACCCAGTCGGGGTCAGTGAGAGGAAAGCCTGACTTTATAATCCGTCTGTTGAAGCGGCATTAAAAGACCAAAGAGAAAGTCTTATTTGGAAAGGATAAAAATTACAAAAGAGGATGAATATGTCGTTTTTCCCAGAGCAACAAAACCCATTGTCCATCCACCCATTCTCTGGTGGCTTTATACAGACTGGTTTTGCTGAAAAACATGTTGAGATTTCTCACTTTAGAATCATGAGATCTGTTTTATTTTTCATTTAAACTTCACTGTGTAGTTTTAAGTATCTAAATATTAGAAATAGCTGCCCCAAATCACTTACATACTCTGAAATAGGTTTTGATCCCATTTTGTTGCTAAATTGCAATTTTTGGGGCGCAAAACTTGTAAATGAAGACAATTATTTCAGCTTTTTTCTTTTCGTTTTAGCCACTGAATCAAAGTCATTTCAGGTTCACGTTCAGAAGCAGAAGCAAGTGTATCGATCACTGACAATGAGTTGTGTTGTTGTGTTTATTAAAGGGACGTGAATGGGAAAGTGGGTCTAAATGGGTGGCTCAGCCAGGTTTTCCTCCTAATTACTCTGGAAGGTCATTTGTTGGGTCTTTGTCTCATGTTTCCAGCGATGTGTGCTGTTGGTTTATTTCAACAGCTTTTTAACAGGACAGACTTCAGTCACTGATAAATGTGCCAAACACAGAGGGGACATGAAAGAGTGACGCAGGCAACCTCAGCTAATCAGCTGCATGAATAGTCTGCCTCAGTGAGTTGACAAATGGTGCACAAATTATTTCTATCTCCATCCTTACACTAATCGCTTATTCCTATTTTCCTGCCACTTTCCAGGCAAACCTATCCGAATGAACACACATCAAAAGATGAACACGTGAACAGACAAACGCATTTTAAAAAGTGTAAATAGTGAGCCATTCAAAGCTAAATATACTCAGCGTAAATACAGAACCTGTGAATCCCAGAATAAAGTGATACTAACAGAATTTAGCTTTTTTTTTATCATTGTCACAAAATTCTGTATTAATTATGTTGCATTCATAGACAGTTTTCAGCTTCCCTCATTTCAAACAAAATGTGAAGTCCTTGCATCCTTTTTAAGCAGATGCATTTTTTTCAGTAAAAGAAACCATCGTCTGCCTGGGTTAATTAGACCATTTTCATCAGGAAACTGTGAAAAAAATGATCTCTTATATTTTTCTTTGCTGTAAATGTAGTTAATAGCCAGGAACTTTCATCCTTCAAAGCTCATCCGTGCACAGGGGCTTGTCCTATGCAAGAAACCGATCTCACATTCAGAGCTAAAATCAGACAGAAACACGCAAACAACATTGTAAAGAAGGAATTGACAGTAAAAACACAAAAACCTGTATTTGTTTCATTTAATGTAGCATTTCCTTTGTGTAAATATAACAGGTTTCCTGTCAGAGTCAGAGCCTCTGTGTTTCAGTGTTTGATTCTACCAGCAGCGTGTTAATGGATTCCAATGTTTTCAGAGTCTTTGCAGGAAAGAAACAGAAACACCAATTCAGTCGTGCTTTAAGCCTCCTGTCTGTTTTTGACACCGTTAACACGTGTCATCCTTTCATGTGCGTACTCCGCAGCAACACACAAGACGGTGAGAGAGAGCGGGCGAGAGGAAGTTAACAAACTGAGGGAGATGTGTCAAATAGGCTTCGATTCTGTGGTGTCTTACATGACAGTCAGCAGACACTCACCACCCCTCGTCCTTCTCAAAAGCAAGAAGATAGTGTGTAACGTGTTCTTCCACTGGTCGCAGCCCTTTGGAAACATGCTGGATTGTGTCTGAGGCCTGTTTGCTCAGTCCTGCATGGCCTGGGACTTGGTACATCCTCTCCCTTGTTTTCCATGTATATGTTGTTTTTTTTATGGTAGACATTGGCCCTGACACACTCTAGCCTCTGGCCTCCCTCCTTCCGGGTCATGTACATTCTCAGAGACTGACAAGTTGGCAAACTAGTCTCCTCTGCCCTTTGAGCAGAAGATTGGTGGTTTCATTTATGGTCAGGAAAAGCCTCAAGCAACCATGTTACTGGCCTACAAAGAAACCTACAGATCAAGACATGCTAGCTCGAAGGTTGCCAGCATTAACTTGAACATATGGAGAAGGGAATAGAGATATAAGTTTGGTTAGGTCACTTTTTCTTGTCAAATTAGCTTTTTTTTTTTGTATTTTGACATAAATAGTAACTCATTTTCCTGCTGGTTTATTGCTGAGAAAAGAGAAAATCCTTCTCAGCATTGTCTGTTGGTTTTTAGCCCGTCACAGGAACTGCTGTGGATGTCCTGCTCTCTCTAATGTCTCATTTAAATCTTTTTGTCTTCATGGTAATTGTACCAAGCCTCGGCATAATGAAAGCTCATAGTAAGGCTGCCTCTGTCTCCCTGGCTCATATAATCTGACAGCAGACTCTGGAAGCTTCCCAT